ATGTATAAATAATTAAACGACAAATATATATTATTAAGGCAATTGGCTTTTAAAGATAAGTTATGCTCAAATTTGATATTCCGAAAACTGATCATTACAATACTGTATAGTATCTTTTGAAGATGTGTTATGTTTTAAATTCTACATACGAGCCGCGTCATGACAAAACCAACATAATGGGTTTGCGACCAGCATGGATACAGACCAGCCTGCGCATCCGCGCAGTCTGATCAGGATCCATGCTGTTCGATATCAGTTTCACTACTTGTTATAGGATTTGTAAGCGAACAGCATGGATCCTGATCAGACTGCGCGGATGCGCAGGCTGGTCTGGATCCATGCTGGTCGCAAACGCATTATGTTGGTTTTGTCGTGACGCGGCTCATATACTTCAGATAATCACAATATGATTACATAATGACATTTTTAAAGAATAGAACAAATTAATTTGACAAGTAATAAAGAAATGCAGCTTCCCAAACATAGTACATGTATATACATTCAGTTATTCAAATTAGATATATATATAGGGAATTTACAAAATTTCGAGAAATGTCTTCAAAAAGATGTTTTTGCCAAAAAATGAGTATGGTTTATCTTTATTTTTTTTAGAAATGAATACAAATTAAACATATACCTTTTCCTGATTGTATGTGCCAAATACCGTAACAGCAGCAGATAAAAGTAAAAGCACGTGAAGAGAATTCATGATTCCAATGTTTTGGACTCGAACTACACCCCAAGTGCCCAACAAGTGCGCAGGCCGTTTGTTGAGACATGCTTATATATTGTATGCTATTGACTTTTTTCCCCTCGCAAAACTGCCAGCTTCTCTTTAAATATGTCATTTACTTAGTAATGATCAATTTAGAAATACATATATAGATATGAAATGAAATATTTATATATTTATACATATAATTTATTACTTATATTATGGCTGGTTGACAACTGTTTTATATAAAATACAATTTTCATGTTCATTTTATTGCTTCAACTTAAGAATACAAACAATTAGTTATAGAGATTTTTTCTACTAATAATGTATATCATATTAGATTTATAATGTATGGATGTAAAAATTAGCTTTCAAAGTACAAGAACTGAGTTGAAAAAACAAACCTTTCAAAAATGCATTCAAAATGCAGTATAATGGTATATTTCTTGCAACCAAAAAAACAAAATGGATTCCAGAGAACGCGTCGTATTATGTGTTACTCTGTAAATATCGTTTGCGCAACGTTTTGGCCATTGCTTCAGTAATAATCGCCGACGATCATTTGTTTTAAATTCTCGTTTTATAAAAAAAAAAGATTAGTAAGTATCGACCGTGTATGGGCCAGCTATTTTATAGCCCGTATGGCTTGATAGTAAGGCCGGCGCTTTGTCTAACTATAACACTGTCTTGCTATACAATGTCACAAGTTCAATCCTCAGATTTTCAAACTAAGATAACTAATTGTCTTATGGGCGGGATTTTAGTCGAGTTCTCTTGCTTTATCATTTGTGGTTTATATTTTAGCACGTGAGAGAATCAAGAACCTCTGTACCCCTACATTTAAAATAGTGATTCATTTTATGTTGAATGTGGTGACAACAAATAAAACGATCATTTTAAAAGTGTAAGTCCTATTAGTGATCCGAAGTTTATAAAATAAAAATGTCAGATAACTATATAGACAAATATTTTGGAGCATATCAGAAGCGATGATAATAAAATATATTTTGTTCATACTTTTTATTGCATACATTAAAACATCTTATACAGTAAGAATTACTACAAGTATATCACTTATTACGACAAAGAGGTGCATTTTCGTGTCATGTTTTCTCGTTTCACATCGTCTTATTAAAGCATTATTCAAAACTGCAAAAGCAAAGATGGTCCTTACGAAACAAGGGGTGCAAAATGCTTATCCGTTTCTTCAGTATTTTTTTCTGAAAAAAAAAGAAAGAAAAAAGTTGAAAACCGAAACATAACACTATGGCTCATATTCGAGAGGGTACGGAACGAATACCAACGCCTTATATCGTCTCGCAACTGACTTGTTTTCAATTCTTTTGATCTCCGCTGTGTCTTCGCCATTACGAAGGCAAGATTTTGTGAAATCCTATCGGTTTATGGTACCATAGTGTTGCCCTTCAAAACGACTTTTTCGCCTCCCCCCTCCCCACAAAAAAAAAAATTAATTAAATAGAAAAATAACCTGAAAAGAAAATGACGGATTATCGAAAGATCGTGTCTTGTGGCAGGACATTGGGTATTTTCAAACGCTATTCATGTCGGTTTAAAAAACTTTCGTGTTTTGTCCTTTCGTTCCATGGCTTCAACATGGCGAATGAAAAAGAAACGAATTTTATTTGCTCGAACATTGTGTTTACGCATCACATTCTCGTCCCGCCATTCCATCATAATTTCAGCCAATATATATTTTAGTGAAGCTATAAGCGCACGTGCGGTTTCAAAGCAGACGAGATAAATACTTGGGGCAAAACAAATAAATAAGTATTAAAACACTCAATGGAACTTGAAAAATGATAGTTATTCATTGATTGACATCACATGAAAGGCATTTTTATTGAATTGTTGATAAAGTAAAAATGTTCCTTGTTTTATTCAAGATATATCCTAAGAATGAGAGTGAGGTCTTAAATGATTGCTGTCTTACTATCTACCAACAAAATCATTGCTACCCAATAAAGTGTAGCCGTAAAATAATGTTGTTTTTATGCTTACTATTGAAGAGTTTGTCAATACGAATTACAACTTTATATTTGTACCATGTTTTTGCTGGAATATTGGATAGCAATTTGAAACTTTTGTTCTAAACTTCAAAGATACTAAGCATTTACAATTCCTTTCTTGTTTTTCTTTTGTTTTGTTTGTTTTAAATCCATATAATTCTAATGTAAATAATGTGTTCAATATTTTTTTTTAGATTTATAAAAATACATCTGCCAACCGTACCCAAATTGACATGGGTCGCGGCGGGGGGGGGGGGGGGGTAATAAAGGTTTGTCTTCCGTTTGTCCGTCAGTCCGTAAAAGTTCTTTTTCATGATGCTTCAAACATGTATAGATAACAATATGGGGTATATGTCAAATATAGTTTTTTTTCTTCTTGTTTCTATGTTGAAAAATGTGCTTGATAACTTAATAGGCTAGAATTCCGCAAAAACTGAATCCTGAGATAATTCAAAAGGTAAATGGAACTACATACGGAAAATATTCACTTAAAATCCGTGTCAGAACCTATACAATTTTAGTTAAGTTCACAATACAGTTTTCAAAATAGGTATGTTGTATTAAAAAATGAAGTTATTTATCTTTTACTATTCTTTTCGTTTGTGTTAAATTCCATTGTTTTTTTTTTTTTTTTTAATTTTTATTTTTTTAAACAAATATTGATATATGAAATTGTTTTTTTTTTTTATTGAGATATTTAAATTTTATTTTTAAGCCTTTTTCAGAGGAGACTTTTATAATGTTTTACATACTTAAGATGCGTTAGGCCCTAATTAAAAACCAGCTTAATTGAATACAACACATATAATAATATGTATGTACGTCATGAGGCTTCATCCTTACACACTTTGTGTCATTTTCTTCGACGTCGTATATGCGTAGGCTACCCCTGCCCCCACCCCCCATGGATTCATAAGTCATTTTTGCGACAGCAAACAGTTCTTAAGAAGGCCCTGGTGCACATTTTTATTAATTGTCGCTTTTTTCTTAATGAAAAATAAGTTTTTTCAACCTTTAAATATAAATTAAATTGTTAACTCGGCTAAGTAGCGGGAATTCAAATAAGTTGTCTTAGATGATGGAGAATGCATGCCTATATAATTCATGCATGAACAGTGAACAGTTTAATTAAGTTTTTACTATGATAGACCTAAATAAGCCAACTTCGTGAGTTTGTGAGCTCTAGAAAGATCTACGTGCCTGCGGAGATGACGCAGTATGTACAATAATCGATTTTAACCAAATGTATGCATATCGAGGCAGGCCTACTGCTTGCATATAATTAAATTGAGAGATATTTCACTAGCAACTTAATTATGGGCCTACTATATTTAATGAATTTATAGTATATGATCACGGACTGTAATCAAAGTCCGTGAAATGACCAAAAATTGAAAAACAAAACCCCAAGAAAATACGTGAAATGACAAAAAAAAAAAAAAGATTATTAAATGATTATTCGATCTTAGGATTGTATCATTGTATGTGAATTTTTTTTTACAGGTTTGATGCTTTAACATGTAATTATAAATTGCACTTGTAAATTTTTAGAAATGCACTGTTGCGCTGTTTGCAAAGATCTTTCATTCCTTTGTTGTTTCAATATTATCAATATAACTATTAAAATTTATGAATTATATAATTTAGTGTGTTATTCTTGCAGAAAGTCGATCCGATTTAAAATAAATGCCCCGTAATGCAAGAAAGCATCTATTAACAACCGTAGTGCGATATAATTATATTTTGTTTCATTTTTGTTTGTTACATATGCATGCATACATGTAGATTCTATGTGATATGTTGTGTATATGTTTATTTCCGTGAATTAATCGATACATCTACATTGTAATTCATAAATTTATGCAGTACGTTCAAATGTTAATTACATTGAGCGAAAATGGACACGTGCAGACATGCAATGTATGCGATATATATTTACGCTATTTTTAGAACACTAACATGTCATCATTTGATTATTTTATATTTAATTACGTAATTTGCATTATATATCATAACCTTTCAGAAATTTTACAATTAAAAAAAACCCCTTCATTTCTAAGCATGACATCTATGAGCGGACAGACGGGTGTACGGACGAACCAACATATTGGAAGCTTTTTGCTATTTATTACCAATTATCTATACAGGCCCATATGTAATAGGCCCACAGCCTTAAATTTCATTGTTAAATCACGTGACATTCCAAACCAATCAGTAGGTCACTTGAAGATATTTTAGATAATCGGCCTAATTTGCTCCGTTTCCCACTATTGGTAAACCCCAATTATAAGAAATTTAGCAGCCATTTTGATAGACAGATGAAGAGGTGACGTCTTTTCAAAAAAGATAAACAACAGAATTCGATGAAAGTTTTTGTTGAATTTCACGATTTATAAGTGAGAAATTAATATTTATTTTTAGCATTGAAAGTTGAATAACATTTTTGATGATTTTTTCGTATTTAGGCCTTTTTCGTTTTATGGATTTTTTCTTTGTTTTTGTTTCCCATCAATGTTATGAAAAATGCAGTGAGTGAATGCATGTTTTAACATGCTTTTGTGACAAAATGGTTTTGTAAAGATGTATTTCAATTCAAATTTAATTGTAATTGATGTCGTAAATGTTGTTTTATTGAATTTACTTCCTGAATTATCGTTTTACCGGCGGAGGTTTCGTCCATTTTCGTCTCGTACCCAAGGGATTCGCACCAAATCGTCAGTGATTTTTCTCACTTAATTGGAAAGAGGCCTTAGCCTCTTGATTTTGGGAAGAATTATCGCGTAAATTTCTGATTTGGGAAGTAAAAAACCTGGTTTAAGTTCAGAGTTTTTGGAAAACTGCATGATTTTAAAAAAAATTTCAAATTGGAAGAGGCGTTTTTTCGGAGTCTGTCATTTAAGTAGGAAAATCACTGATCGTACACATAAAAAATCTAGATTTTTGCCGCATTTATTTTTATATCAAACAAGCCAAATTTTAAATTTCGACAAATGTAATCTTGCTTTTTGGATTTTCAGTAACGTGTTTCTTTTGTTATAGAATCATCTAGTCTTCTGTAAACCTGAAAAAAACCCAACAAAAACTAAACAATTGCCTTCTCAGTTATATCGTGGAATCACAGGAGTTTGACATTCTATCAGTAATTGAAAAATATATATACGCATTTAATTAAGAAATAACGGGAAATATACCCCTCTTTACAATAGATAACCACAAGGAATGCAACACCTGTTGCAATCTCATTACAAAATTTATTGAATAACATGCAGTACAATTAGTTGGACTTAACTGCCTGGTACTGTTTCTTCAACATTTTTACAATTAACATGCATTCAAAGTTTGTGTTCATACTATTTTACATATGAAATGAAATTAATTAAGTCATAAAAGGATGAAACGTGTTACTGTTGTTGATATAAACAATCAATAAATTATTATTAAACAAGTTGCTAAAGCTGCAGATTTAGTATTAAATTTAAAAGTGCAAATCCAGGGTTTCATTATTAAAAGATCGGTCATGGCCTAAGGGAAGGTGGCCTAGTGGACGTAGTGGTTAATGTGTCTGCCTACCAACCCAGGGATCATTGGTTTGAGGTCTACTTTGGTCACAACCATGTTACCTCGTATAACACCAGTAATGGTTAGTTCCAGAAAGCGGACTGAAAAGTGATTAATATAAGTTGCAAGAACTTGTTTTGCAATTGAGCTAAAAAGGAAATGAGTTTAAACTAATAGATTGGCGATCCATATCGACGGCTAGTATGCTGTTAAAACCAGTTATTTTCTGCCTGTATATTAAAATATCACCTTTGATCTAATCGGTTGTTTTCATTGGCACATTCTGTTGTCTCAGATAAAAATGAAACCCTGAAATGAAAATTCCTATATTTATGGCTTAAAAAATCTTTTAATTTCTAGACTGTCCATAAATTTAAAAATTGCCCATGAATATTACTAAATCCTAGACCTGATAAAGGCAATATATCAAACATTTTTTGTAGTTCATATTTTGCTGTGGGTTCAACTTCAGGACAGAGTTATGCCATATAGACATTAGCTTGCTCGATATAAACTTAAGCAATGCTTGAAGCTCATTTCATATGACTAATTTGTTTGACTCGTTAACCAATTTGATTGCCTCATTGAATGATATTGTGTGCTTATAATATTTTTTCATCCTCCATATTATATAATGTTAAATATATTTGTCAATGGTGTGTCTTTGTGCAAAATGTGGTGATTAAACTGATTATATTTAAGAGTACTGCAGTGCTGATCTCGTTCTGGTACCAACAGTACTGCATTTGTTGGCAAGTAATGGTACTTATGAAGTTTTAAGGAAACACATTTTTAAACAAGAAAGTACTTTAACCAATTTATATTTACTTTTTCAGGTTATGGAAGGGAACTCTGCTGAAAATGAACAGGGAAGTGCTGCCCCTGAAAAAGTGACAGCCTCTGAAGAAGTGTAAGGATTCTTATGTTATTGTTATATTAAGTGCTACATTGTCAGTTAATCGAGTATGGTTGCTATTATTTTCTTATTAAGCAAAGACTAAGATTTGTGAGCTTAGATATACAATTTAATATTGTCAATACAGCATAGTGTTTAAAAAAATCGTTAACTAGTTGAATGCCTTCCTTAAACCAAACAAAAGTGAGTTAATTACCTACTTGTTTAAATCTCGGGCTGTCTGTAGGCTATTAACACATTTCAGATTTGTTGTATTAAGTTTTAATGTTTATTGCATTGTCATTTCATTCTAGATTTTATATCGGTCATCAAAATGAGCAAAAAAAACCCTGCTGTCGCCTGTCAGTCTGTTTATTGAAACTTAACTTGGTATATGGATAGAGTGCCAAATTGAGATTATGCAATATTATGCGTCATATTTTAAAACTGGCCATATTAAACTTTGTTATTTGATAAATTTGATTCATACAGTTTCTTGACAAAACAACATCATGACAAAACCAACATGTTAAATAATTCATGAATGACCTTGACCTTGAAATGATCTTTACTTTCAATGTCAAATTATTGAATTGTCATAATTAAATTATCCATAATTTAACAGTTAATCTGACTAGTTTTCAGACTGTTAAATTACTTCATTTTTTTTTCAGTAAACAAAAAAGAAATTGTAAATTTTTTTGCAGGTTATGTACAGCATGAGCTTTATGTCTTATGTGAAACATGAATATTTTATAAAAGTACATGCTATTGCAGGGAAGAGACAGAAAACAATGATGACAATACTGAAGAGGTGAAGGAAGAGGCACAAACAAATGGAAAAAGGCAGCTTGATGATGAAGAAGATGAAGAAGATAAAGCAGAAAGTCCACCTGTGAAAAGGTGATTTTTTTTTGCATACAATGAATGCAACTTCCCATAGAGTCCTGGATCTCTGGCATGTGTTGAATTTGTATTTTTTTTGTTTGGGAAAGAGATACGGGGATTGTAATCAGTTTTATGCATTCTACAATAAGATTTAAATATTAAAGACAGATTTGATTCAATCAGAGTCACTAAGTAAGAATTTATTTTTAGCTCACCTGTCACAAAGTGACAGGGTGAGCTTTTGTGATCGCTTTTCGTCCGGCGTCCGTCCGTAAACTTTTACTTTAAATGACATCTCCTCATAAACCGCTGAGCCAATTTCATCCAAACTTCACAGGAATGTTCCTTTGGTGGTCACCTTTAAAAATTGTTCAAAGAATTTAATTCCATGCAGAACTCTGGTTGCCATGGCAACCAAAAGAAAAAACTTTAAATATCTTCTTTTAAAAAACCCAAAGAGCTAAAGCTTAGATATATGGCATATAACATCTTCTAGTGAGTGTCTACCAAGTTTGTTCAAATAAATGCCCTGGGGTCAAAATTGGCCCCGCCCCAGGGGGTCACTGATTTTCCCTATATGCATATAGTAAAAACTTAAAAAATCTTCTTTTAAAGAACCCAAAGAGCTAGAGCTAAGATATTTAGCATGAAACATCTTCTCATGATTGTCTACCAAGTGTGTACCAAGTGTGTTCAAATAAAAGCCCTGGGTTCAAAATTGGCCCCGCCCCAGGGGGTCATTGATTTTCCCTATATGCATATATATAGTAAAAACTTTAAAAAATCTTCTTTTAAAGAACTCAAAGAGCTAGAGCTAAGATATTTAGCATGAAACATGTTCTAATGGGTGTCTACCAAGTTTGTTCAAATAAAAGCCCTGGGGTCAATATTGGCCCCACTCCGGGGGTCATTGATTTTCCTTATATGTGTATAGCAAAAACTTAAAAAAATCTTCTTTGAAAAAACCAAAATAGCTAGAGTTTAGATATTAAGCATGAAACATCTTCTAGTGAGTGTCTACAAAGTTTGTTCAAATCAAAGCCCTAGGATCAAAATTGACCCTGCCCCAGGGGTCATTGATTTTCCTTATATGTGTATAGCAAAAACTTAAAAATCTTCTTTGAAAAAACCTAAAGAGCTACTGTTTAGATATTAAGCATGAAACATCTTGTACTGAGTGTCTACAAAGTTTGTTCAAATAAAAGCCCTGGGGTCAAAACTTGCCCCGCCCCAGGGATGTCATTGTTTTTAACTATATGTGTATAGTAAAAACTTAAAAAATCTTCTTTTAAAAAACCCAATGAGTTAGAGCTTAGATGTTAAGCATGAAACCTGTTCTAATAGGTGTCTACCAAATTTGTTCAAATAAAAGCCCTTGGGTTAATATTAGCCCTACCAGGGGGGGTGGGGGAGGTCATTGTTTTTCATTATATATGTTTAGTAAAAACTTAACATCATGAAACATCTTGTAATGGGTGTCTTCCAAGTTTGTTCAAATAAAAGCCCTTGGGTTTAAACTGGCCTCGCTCCGGGGGCCTTTATACAGGTGAGCGACCTCAGGGCCATCATGGCCCTCTTGTTGAAGGATATCTTTAGTTTGTTCAAACATGGGTTTTGTAGGTTCTTAAAAGAGATCACCTGGTTGAATTAAAAGTAAAACTTGTAAAAATGAACTAAGAAGTAAAATATCATTAATTTTGCCACTTTAAAGGTCAAGGTCATCAGATTCTGAGGTCAAAACTAAGTTAAAGAGTCAATGCATAGGACAAATCTGATTTGATGAGCTCTATAATTATCAACTTCAATAATCAAAATGTTTTAGTTCGTGATTTTTACATGTACATCAAATATGAGTCACTTCCGATCATTATCGCGCAATAGTGATCAAACTAATGTATACACGCTTGTACAGTACATGTAATTACCAGATAAAACACGAGGTGATAATTTTATATCTTTGATCAACAATTGATTGGAAACACGTGTTGGAAATTAGCAAATTTTACCGACAAAAGGATAAAATTATCGACTATTTACGCTGCAAGTTTAAAGACTGTTTTCTCAAATTACAAATGAGTGTAATTTTGAATGATTGTCGAATATTTTCGGCATTTTCTAGGCACAATTTTGCTTTAGTTTCATTTTTGCAAAAACTTTCTATATGAGTATTAAGATATTATGCCGAAATGCCAGGACAACAAACCAAAATACACATACGCTTTTCTTTGATATTTAGATTCTATCCGAAAATTGATCTCGAACATCGGTGATTTCACGTTCGCCAGAAACCCTAAAATTTCGCAAAAATTCTCGGTTTCCTAGCCAAACATGCGAATGAATTGTTCCTTTATTATTTAATCAACATTAAATCTATAAATATCGATCTTCTTTTGCCCCCTTTTGAAGATATTTGCTAAAATAATTGTCGATCGGATGAATCTCTTACACACTGTGTGAAGCTGTACACGATTTTCCTATTCATTCCGCTAAACGCTGCCTATGTATATTTACGTTTTTGTGCCCCCACGTTAGTGGCGGGCATTTAGATTTACCCTTGTCCGTCCGTCCTTCCGTCCGTCCGTCTGTCCGTCCGTCCGTCCTTCCGTCCGTCCTTCGTCCGTCCGTCCGTTCACTTTTGTGTCGCACGTAACTCAAAAAGTATTTGACATAGAGTCATGAAACTTTACAGGAATGTTGATCAGCATGTGTAGTTGTGCACCTGGGTATTTTGGTCGGGATATTTTTAGTATTTTCAGAGTTATTGCCCTTGACTTAGTAAAATTTTGCAATTTTCAACTTGTGTCGCATGTAACTCCAAAAGTAATTGACCTACAGTCATCAAACTTTACAGGAATGTTGATCAGCATGTGTAGTTGTGCACCTGGGTATTTTCGTCTGGATATTTTTAGTATTTTCAGAGTTATTGCCCTTGACTTAGTAAAATTTTGCAATTTTCAACTTGTGTCGCATGTAACTCCAAAAGTATTTGACCTACAGTCATCAAACTTTACAGGAATGTTGATCAGCATGTGTAGTTGTGCACCTGGGTATTTTCGTCTGGATATTTTTAGTATTTTCAGAGTTATTGCCCTTGACTTAGTAAAATTTTGCAATTTTCAACTTGTGTCGCATGTAACTCAAAAAGTATTTGACCTACAGTCATGAAACTTTACAGGAATGTTGATCAGCATGTGTAGTTGTGCACCTGGGTATTTTCGTGTGCATATTTTTAGTATTTTCAGAGTTATTGCCCTTGACTTAGTAAAATTTGGCAATTTTCAACATGTGTCGCACATAACTCAAAAAGTATTTGACCTACAGTCATGTAACTTTACAGGAATATTGATCAGCATGTGCAGTTGTGCACCAGGTATTTTCGTCTGGATTTATTTAGTATTTTTAGAGTTATTGCCCTTCACGTAGAAAATTTTTGCAATTTTCAACTTGTGTCGCAAGTTTCTCAAAAAGGATTTGACATAGTCAATAAACCTTATGGGCAGGTTGCTCAGCATATTTTAGATTTGCACCTGGGGTTTGGCTTGTGGATTTATCCAGTATTTGTAGAGTTATTTCCCTTGACTTAGTAAAAAGATTGACAGAACAGTGTCGCGGTGGGGGCACCCGTGTCCTATGGACACATTTCTAGTTTTACAAATATTTAGAGTGGACTTACTTAACCAGAATAAAATTTGATTTGGATATAAGTGGAAAAAAAAACAAACAAAAAAAACGATTTCCATGTGTTGATGCATTTTAATGAAATAATTTAACATATTAACTTTATAATATTAACAACAAAACAAAAATTATACTATGTAGTTCAGAGTTTCTTTTGAATAACTATAAACTTTGGAAGTCTCTTGAAGATTCAAAATCAGCAATGCTATTGTGAGCATTGAATGACTAATCTGTAAACATATTAATTGCGACACGCTTATGGACTCCAACTTTTTCAGGGTTGGGAGTCCATGGACTCCATGTTTTAAAGTCCTAGTGAGAACCCTGAGGTTGTATTGGCTGCTATATTAAAGTTACTGGACAGCATGGGTAGAGAGATTAAACAACTCGGCCGTTTGGTTTCTAAATCTATTTACTAATGATACTACAGAGGTGATGCCAGGTTAATTAAGGCGGGGCTTATCAGCTAGTGGGCTAATACTAGCTGACCAATAGCGAGTCTATATTACATAGGTCATCGGCTATGATCAAAGAAAAATAATTTTAAGACTCATTGTTATATTTTGATGTCTGTCATAGTTTTTGAGTAACATATTAGTGGTCAGGGCTTTTTACTCTGAATTTTAGGAAAGGCCTTAACCTTTAATGTTTTAATTTGTGAAAATACAGAGAAATATTTTGTCAAATTGGAAAAAAATTGAATGACATTTAAACAACAAATAAAAAGAGCATAATGATATGAAGATCATATTTCATTTAGTACTATCGTGCCACATTATCTATAAAAGCTTTGCCTATCCTTAATACCTAAGGTCAACAATCTTTTCCTAGGTTCATCTTGGAGAAGTAGTCATTGATTTTCAATAGAACATTCACTTGTCAAATGGCCAGTTTATTACAAATGTTCACCATCAATGATTATGACACGGTGTCGTTCTGGCATTTTCAGTTAATCCCCAGGGGTGGATGCAATAGCCCATTCTAAATGGAAAATAGTATTTTTTTTTCACCAGTTAAAAAAAATCCCAACAGCTGCCTAAAAAATCAAACTTGTTTGTACATATACTATATTTGTACTGTTTTTAGCTCACCTGAGCATATGCTCAGGGTGAGCTATAAGGATCACTGTTTGTCCGTCGTACGTTGTCCGTTCACACTTTTAAAACGACATCTCCTCTGAAACCATAAGGCAGATCATAATGAAACTTCACAGGGATGTTCCTTGTGTGAAGCCTTAACAAAGTTGTACAAAGAATTCCATTCCATGCAGAACTCTGGTTGCCATGGCAACCAAAAGAAAAAACTTTAAAAATCCAAATGAGCTAGAGCTTAGATATTTGTCATGAAACATCTTCTAGTGAGTGTCTACCAAGTTTGTTCAAATAAAAGCCCTGGGGTCAAAATTGGCCCCGCCCCAGGGGGTCATTGATTTTCCCTATATGCATTTCGTAAAAACTTAAAAAATCTTCTTTTAAATAACCCAAAGAGCTAGAGCTTTGATATTTAGCATGAAACATCTTCTAATGGGTGTCTACCAAGTTTGTTCAAATAAAAGCCCTGGGGTCAAAATTGGCCCCGCCCCAGGGGTCATTGATTTTCCCTATATACATATAGTAAAAACTTAAAAATCTTCTATTAAAGAACCCAAAGAGCAAGAGCTAAGATATTTAGCATGAATAATGTTCTACTGGCTGTCTACCAAGTTTGTTCAAATAAAAGCCCTTGGGTCAAAATTGGCCCCGTCCCAGGGGGTCATTGATTTTCCATATATGCATATAGTAAAAACTTAAAAATCTTCTTTTAAAAAACCCAAAGAGCTAGAGCTAAGATATTTAGCATGAAACATGTTCTAATGTATGTCTACCAAGTTTGTTCAAATAAAAGCCCTGGGGTCAAAATTGGCCCCGCCCCCAGGGGGTCATTGATTTTCCCTATATGCATATAGTAAAAACTTAAAAAATCTTCTTTTAAAGAACCCAAAGAGCTAGAGCTGAGATATTTAGCATGAATAATGTTCTAATGCCTGTCTACCAAGTTTGTTCAAATACTAGCCCTTGGGTCAAAATTGGTCCCGCCCCAGGGGGTCATTGATTTTCCGTATATGCATATAGTAAAAACTTAAAAAATCTTCTTTTAAAGAACCCAAAGAGCTAGAGCTAAGATATTTAGCATGAAACATCTTCTAATGAGTGTCTACCAAGTTTGTTCAAATAAAAGCCCTTGGGTCAAAATTGGCCCCGCCCCAGGGGGTCTTTGATTTTTCCTATATGCATATAGTGAAATCTTAAAAACCCAAATAGCTAGAGTTTAGATATTAAGCATGAAACATCTTCTAGTGAGTGTCTACAAAGTTTGTTCAAATAAAACCCTGGGGTCAAAATTGGCCCCGCCCCTGGGATCATTGATTTTCCTTATATGTGTATTGCAAAAACTTAAAAATCTTCTTTGAAAAAACCCAAATAGCTAGAGTTTAGATATTAAGCATGAAACATCTTTTAGTAAGTGTCTACAAAGTTAAAAAAATCTTCTTTTAAAAAAACCAATGAGCTAGAGCTTAGATGTTTAGCATGAGACACCTTCTTATGGGTGTCTACCAAGTTTGTTCAAATAAAAGCCCTTGGGCTAAAATTGGCCCTACGGGGGGGGGGGAGCCTATATTCAGGTGAGCGACCTCAGGGCCATCATGGCCTTCTTGTTTATTTTTTTTATTTTGTTTGTAAAGATTTGTTTAAAAACAGTTTATTTGTTCTTTAAGAAAGAGTAAAATAAATTGAGCATTGCTTCCGCTCAACTGTGGCTCTTGTTCTTCTTCCAGCCATAGGAGGCTATAATGACCAACCTACTATTTTCGTTATGGAGAATACAGCTCTTTTCTTAGAGATACTTAAAATGAATTATAAAATGAACCTCAACTGGATCTTTATAAATACAAACTTGTTGCACCGTCTGCAACATGTTTTGTATTTAGCCTTTTAGGCACACATAGACAACATTCATTTGAAGTATTTTGCATAATTTACACTTATATCTAACAGCTTTCAGGGCCTTTATACTATTTTTGGGGAAGGGGCCCTAGCCCTTTTTGTGGGGAAAATATGCGCGATTTTCGCACTTTTGGGGAAAATATCTATTTGTATATTTTTATATGTTAAAACACATTTCAGGTTTACATAAGTCTAAGAACTTAATTTCAAACATCAACAAATAAAAAGGCATTTCTGAAGATGAATTTATTGTCACTGCACATCTATACAGTTATGTTTTATAACAGTTTAATGTTAATTTATAACTTCATCTCCCTCTTTTTTTTGTCCTTGAAAATTGAAACCAAATTTTCATAATCCTCATCCCCAAAAGCCTGAAGAGTGTCCTGCATCAAAGAAATGCGCATCATGGCATCCAGTGTTATCTGCCCCATAGATGTTCTCAGGAATGTGCAAATGTCATTCATGACACTAAAACCCCGTTCCACAACAGCTGTTGATTGGGGAATCAACAGTGCCAACTTAAATAGCTTGTAAACTCTGGGGAAACAAGCTCGGATAACTGGGTCTCTTTCCATGGCCCTATACACTTTTGTTACAGAGTCATCTCCTCTTTGCCTGTGAAAAAGACAAAATATATGTGAAACTGTAAATTAATGTTTCATATTTTAGTTTGAATGGTATTGCTTTGTAAATGTATGTTAGGTCATTATTATCAGCAGGTGAAATTTAAATTAAAACCTTAATTTACAGCTTATGAATTCAGATTAAAATTTGATAGATATTTCAGTTTTCTAAGAAAATAATAGTGAATTTGGTAAAAAGTAATTAATAAAATTATTTATTTTTTTCTTTTAGTTCAAATTAAATTTTATATTACTGACAACACAAACAAACAAAAAAACACAAGAACACTGGAAAATGTAAAGGAGTATAGTCAAGAAAGAGTGTAAATTTTCATGAATACAAATCCAATTCTACAGATAACAACAGTTGAACCAAAAAACTAAACCTGTAATCCTGCAAAATCAAAGAAAACAGTAAAATCAACTGCAAACTTTTAATATTTACTAACTTGTACATGAATAATTGGGGCTTAAATGTGTTCAATTCATTAGTTACAATTTCTGTACTGTCTAATTCTGGTGGTGCAACAGTTCTATGACCCTGGAATTCATCATGTTGCTCTTTCCCATAAAACTCTGCCAATGTTTGAGTGTGATTCTGCCAACAGTAATTATTATAATGTAATGAAAGCACTGAGACTTCAGATTACAATCACAACCACTTCAACTTAAATTACAATGTGTGTTTTTCGATATCTGAAAATATATAACTACCTTGCCATATTCTGCTATTTCAGTAACACTATCTGGAAGATTGCCAGGGTCTAGCACGCTAAATGCCGACAATACAGCCGAGTGATTGCAGAAGGCATCTGCAATCTCATTGATAAGGTCATAAACCATTGGCACTCCCTTCAGTCGCAAAAATTCTGAAAAAAGTATATAGAGTTTCAGTAAGACAATATTACAAAATGAAACTAGTTTCACTAGATAAAGCTGTTAAAATGAAAAAGGCATATTTTAAAACATCATTCATTTGTGAGCAAGTGTTTTGAATTCTTTTTTCAGAACTTGATTGTTACAACAACAGAAAGATTAATTTGAGTCAACTGTTTGAGGCATTGATTTGAAGAAAGTGAAATTCCACAATACTACTACTGGGCAATCATTGAATGATTTTTATACTTCTAACTTAAATAAAAAGACAATAAGACAAACAAACCATCTGGATTCATGTCTCTGTCATCAGCTCTCATTCGTCTGGCAAGATCAGTCCTGTCCCTAACAACACCCAGAAGCTCTTGACATTTCCTGATAATATTACAAATATATCTATTGCAATAATACAAGTAGTTAACTTACAAATTATATGGGTTTTTTTAAGTGTATATCCTTTCTTTTTCAATTTGAGACTGATCATTGACAATACTTAATTCAAATAAAATCTATAAATTATATACAGTGCAGCATCTAAAACAGTGTCTGAAATAATTAGAATCCATGAAAACTAAAGTGTGTAGGTAGAAGTAAGTAAATGATATTTAAAGGCCTTTCTAAGTTAAGATATATCAATCAGATCTGGAAACCATGGCATATGACAAATAATGTACATATAAAATTACCCAAATTCCAACTCCTGGTAGTTACAGCTCTCATACTTATTGACAACTTCCTGGAGCTCATTGCGACACTTTGTTACTCTTGCTGGTAACTCAGTAAAAGTACCACAGTCTTCTTGTAAATATAATGATAGGAAGTTGACTGGCTTAAGAATGTCAACAAGAACTAGCACAGTTAAAATAACGCCTGGCTGAGTCATACTTATGCGTATACCAGTGAGCTCTGGTTCTTTGGTTTCTTCAATAAGGGCATCAAGGGTGTCCAGTATGGCCTCAAACCTGCCAACAAACCTGACACTTGCTCTCAGGTGTGACAACCACCTATTAAATACAAATAAGGAAATACAATTGTCTATACTGCATGTAACTCAAATGCAAAACATTGGGTTGTAGTGTTAATCAAAAGTTTTATTTTTTTGTATTTTAGGTATGAAGTCTTGACATAACTCTGACTTTCATCAAGTCATATTATAGTTTATTTCTCATATAAACAATATCATACAACATTAGTTAAGAAGACCATTTTTTCTGTAAAAAGCATACCTAGTGGTGGCTGCTCTGATAAATTTCAAAGGCTTCTGCCCATAAACACCCTGAATTGCCTCGAACACGGCTGCTTTTTTTGGCGAATAGTGAAACATCTTATATATGCCTAGCAAAACACGGTCAACTTCTTCTAACTCCTGGTTTCTTTTAACCATATGGACCAGACACAAGGCAAGGCGGTGATTACGACAATTGACATATATCGACAGTGGGTTTTCATGCCGTTTTCTTTTCTGTAGACCTGAAAAATATGAAATGGATGATAAGTAAAATAAAAAAATTAGCTTTAAGATCATTTAACAAAATATTGAATTTTTTCATGTTATACTATAGAAATTACTTACAAATGCATTTAAGAAATGTTAACAGTATTTTGAAATCTATTCAAAGTTTAAAGAATTACTTCAGCCAAAACATTTACCTTTATTTTCACCGCTCATTGCATTGCACCCATCCAAGCCAACAAATCTGATGTTGCGCAGTTCAATGCCTGTGAATCATAAACAAATTATTTACAAAAATACAATTTGATTAACAAAAATACAATTTGATTCATTTCCCTATCTGTACAGTAAATTAATTACTTTTATTATGTCAAAAGCTTTAATTTTATAGGAACAAGTTTTAACCCTTGAATTAACAACACTAAGCCAGGAAACAAAGGCTTGCTTGAATGTTCCAGCTGACTGGGTTCGAACCCAGGCTGATAGACTTAGCAATCATTCAATCAGCAAGCATGCTGCCTGTCATAGTTAAATGAAATGAAGTTATTGTCATTCAAATGTGTTTATTTGTTTCATTTCAATATATCATTATATTTAAAGAAAATGTACATCTGAAAAATATGAAGACAATTTTTCTTGACTACGTACATTTGCCTAAGCAAAATACACGGATACCATCCATCAGGGCTGCACTACTCGTTCTTTCTACATTAATGAGACCCATGTATGATTCCTTTACTTCTCCATTTCCTACCCAACAAGCAAAGACTGAAAGCTGTGTACGGTTTGCCTGATCTGTACTCTCATCAGCAAGTAAAGTAAATTTTTTCCCACAAAGATCTGTCAACAATTTATTTTCAAGGTAGTCACTAAGAATACCAATTATTTCTGTGACTGATGTACTAGATGTATATGTGGTGTTCCCGCTGAAAATATCTACAATGTCTGGGTCACAAGTTGTGCCCATAAACTGGACAACATCTTTGAAGTTTTCAGAAAGAGCCCATTTTTTTTTTTTATCATGAATCCACAGGTTTTAAACAATTTTTTTCAAAATAGTTCCTATTTTGGCAATAAGTGCATCTTCAGATGTGGTATGGGTCTGCATAACAGTTCTTGCAATATTTACATTACATAATGATGAGGTGTATCTGCTTAAACTGTTTTTATGTGATTGACTCTTCTCATGAATTTCAAGACGTCTTGTAGGGTGTTCCCCAAGAACTGCACCACATGTTATGTATGGCGTGGATTTATTTAGTTTAGGGGCAAATAGCTCACAATATTTGCAAATATACCCCTTTTGAGTTCCACTGTAATACAGCCAGGAAAATTTTGACTCGTATTTCCCAACAGAAAATCTACGCAGGTCATGCTCAGAAGATAAAGTGCTGTCAGTTCCAGCTTTATCAATATTATTTATGCTGAGCTCCTGTTCAGGGGGAGTACTTTGACTGCTGGATAATATAGGAGATACGGCAGCCGGAGATACACTAGCACTAGTAGCAGTAGCAACAGCAGGGTCATTTGCGCTGGACTTCGGTTCAGTGGGTTTAGATGTTATAATAGGTGCTGTAGAAGGTGTTAAACTCACAGCTGGGTCATCAAATCTTCCCTTTTTAAAATAATTTGTCAAAGTTACAGTACTACGAGCATCATTCGCTCTTATTTTCTTTTTGTACGCTCGCCAATTGTGCGGCATTGTTTACACAAACGTAAATCGGCAATCATGTCGTCATGTCGTAAAAATGATGCGTTAATCGGAATATCTTCGGTTATAACAGCTCAATAGGAAAGAGCCGAAAAGTTGCGATAGATGACACGTATGCCAGAACGAGGCCAGCGGGTTTTTCCCCATGCTGTTTTTAGAAAATTGCCATATCAGACCGAGGCTACGAGTAAACAGCAAATGCATTGAATTAAGGCATCCCTCTAGTCGCGAAATGAATCATTACCGTTTATTGGACAAAACAGCAGTCTATTTTTACACGAAAAAGTTTGTTTACAAATTTTTACGCTTCGATCTAACTAACAATTTAATGGGGAAATCACCGCCAGGAGGGGAATTTAAGACATGTTTTTGGGGAAAAAAGGTAGCTATTTGGGTTGGGGAAGTAGCCGGATACCGGCTACACCAAAGAAGGGTAAAAAGGCCCTGGCTTTATAGTGCCTATATACAAAAAAGGAAAAAAAGTACTTGAAAAAAGTTACATATAAATAAAGCAAAAAACACAGTCCACGAGTTAACTTATTCAATTATTTGCCACCTGGTTTCTCTTATGATCATCAGGGCAAATGTGATGCGATGATGTATATACATGTATATATATATATATATATGACTCACGGTTACTTAATAATGTTCTATATAGAATTTAGTGATGTTTGATAGATATAATTTGACTTGTATTTTTATTTGAAAAGTTCAGCAATTTACAAAAAAAAAAATGTGTTTTTTTTGTGGTTTTTTTCAGGTCAAAGACCTCTGACAATGATGAGGAAACTGAAAGTGTAGAGAAGGAGAAGTCAGAAACTATAGATAAAAAAGAGACAGATAATATGGCAACTGATCAAACTGAGGAGGTATCTCAGAAGAGCAAAGAAGACAATGAATGTGAAAAGACTGAGGACAATAAGGTAGATCAAACTGAAGACAAAACAACAGAAAAGTCGGAGGTAAAAACTGAAGAAAAGGATGAAATTATTAATGAAGTTAAAGAGGAAAAGCTTGAGGAATCGCCTATGGAAGACGATTCTAATGACGATAAAATAGATAGTAAAGTTGAAGTTAAAGATGAAGTTAAAGATAAATGTGAAGTTAAAGATGAGGTGAAAGAGGAGAAAATAGATGAAAAACAGGGCATATCAGAAGATAATAAGGTTGTGATGAACGGTATAGACACTGAAGATGAAAATCTGAATGAACCAATGGATTTGGGTGTAAAATCAAAAGAGGAAGAAAAAGTTAATGGTGGCTCAGTGCACTCAGAAGACAGTGAGAAAGAAAATGTTGATGTTCCAATGGATTTAAGTAGAAAATCGACAACTCCAGTAAAGGATGTGATCATGCTATCTGACGAAGAAGAAGCAAATGAGGCAAGACTAAATGGAGAGAAAGAGTATAATCTAGATGATCTTAAATTGAAAAGGAAGATGATAAAACGTCTCCAGGCAGAATTGAGAAATGAGGAGGCAAAACTAGTCTTACTGAAGAAGTTGAGGTTTAGTCAAATGTCTCAGCAGGTAACAGATAACGTGGCAAGGAAGACACCCCAGCCTAATCAGCATTCCTCACAGCCTCCGCCTCTGGTGCGAGGTAACCAGCAAATGTCTCAGCAAGCCAAGCCTGCACACAGTCAGCCACCTCAGCTACAGAGGCCGAATGGAAATGTGGTCAATAACAAGCCACAAGGGCCACCACCACTAGTAATGGCCCCAAGAGTGGACCAACAGCAACTAATTCGTAATCAGATGAAGTTGTTACAACAGCAACAACAACAACAGCTGTCTTCTAATAAACCACAGCAGAATAACTTACCAGGATTCCGTGGAACCCAGGCGCAAGCAGATGCCATAAGGCAAATGCAGCAAGTTCAGCAGAGAGTTGTTGAGGAAACTCCAGCGCAACGTCAAGCGGCCGCTAAACTTGCCCTTAGAAAACAGCTAGAAAAGACATTGCTCCAAATTCCGCCACCAAAACCTCCACCGCCAGAGATGAATTTCATTCCAAGTCTTGCTAGTCCTGATTTCATATATCTCCTTGGGTTAGAAGAGGCTGTGAACTTTATTATTGATACAAATCTAATATCGAAAGGGCGTAAGAACCCTGATGAGAAAATGGTGTGTAATCCATTTACTTGTGTTCAGTGTGGTACGGATTTCACTCCAGTATGGAAACGTGAGAAGCCAGGTTCTAAGAATGTTATATGTGAGCAGTGTGTCACATCAAATCAAAAGAAAGCCTTGAAACAAGAGCACACAAATAGACTAAAAAGTGCTTTCGTGAAAGCTCTACAACAAGAACAGGAGATTGAAAGGATGCAGTCACAGGAGATGAAATCAGCACCTGTGCCTGCTGCCCTTAAAGAGAAAACAGAATCTCGCACGGAACGAGACTCTAGAGAATCGTCGGCACGGAGTGCTGCTGCACAAGCGTGCAAAGAGTCGATGGATACATTACGACAGCATCAGTACCTAGTACAAGCCCATCAGGCTGCTGCGTTACGTATGGGTCAGCCTCTCGGATTGCAGGGTTTCAACCCGAGGGCGCCATTCCCTTATCAACTGCCTTTTGCAGCCAGAGCATCAGACCTCCAGAGGCAATATTTACTTGACATGATTCCCAAAGGAGGTCTACCATGGAACTCTTAGTTGTGTACAAATACCTTGTGTTAGTTAACGAAGCTCAGTTTTATATTTATAATAATTCACTTCACAATATGGTGCTGGATACTTACAAACAGATACTTACAAATACAGTGTGCTTAAATGAAAGAAACATAGTATGTATTAAGGACAATATGTATACACATAAATGACACTGACATAAGTTCTTGAAAAAAAAGAATGTTTTTTCTTTAAATCTAACAAAAATCTTGTTTAGATATTTGCAAGGTCTCGTTATTTTCTCAGAGAATTTACTTTGTTAACCAGTTTACAATAGCCTATGATATTGAAATACTAGATGTTTTTTTACATCAGTTAAGATGGTACTGAATGGATTGTAACACATGTGGTGGTTCTTACAAAAGATATTGTATTTCAATGATGTCATACAAGATAATACGATTTTGCAACAAACACACAATTTGTTAACATAATGTTTTTTCCCCTAACAGTATTACTTATATGTCAATCTACGTGCTTAATTAAATCTAGGTAACACCTATATGTTTCTCGTCTCGTTTTCATGTATTTGGCTTGCTGTTGTGACCTTGTTGAGCACTTTTGTTGAATATAATTTGGCTTTTTAACATAGTAAGCAGGAAATTTAAGAAAATTTACTTGTAGCACAAACAAGTTTTTTTTCACTAATTTAGCATGATATTTAAAGAATTGATTTTTTTTAAAAATTTCATTTCAAAAGTTTAACTAGATTATAAATTTTGTAATTAGCTTACAGGACAGGATACAAATTTGTAATTTCGAAAGCTTACATGATAGGTCACAGATTCTATAATTTCAAAAGCTTATACTATATGTTATAAATTTTCTAATTTCAAAAGCTTACATTATAGGTTATAAATTTTGTAATTTCAAAAGCTCAAACAATAGGTTTACCTTTATAAATTTTGTAATATCTAAAGCTAATACTGTACGTTCATAAGCTTATACTATGGTTAAAATTTTTGTAATGTCAAAAGCTTACACAATAGGTCATAGATTCTGTAATTTTCAAAGCTTATACTATATGTTATAAATTTGTAATTTTAAAAGCTTACACGATAGGTTATTAATTTTGTAACTTCAAACGCTCAAACAATAGGTTTACCTTTATAAATTTTGTAATATCTAAAGCTAATACTGTACGTTACAAATTTTGTAAATTCATAAGCTTATACTATGGTTAAAATTTTTGTAATTTCAAAAGCTTACACAATAGGTTATAGATTCTGTAATTTTCAAAGCTTATACTTTGTTATAAATTTGTAATTTTTAAAGCTTTCATGATAGGTTATAAATTTTGTAATATCAAAAATTAGTATGATAGGTAATAAATTTAGTAATTTCAATAGCGTATACGATAAGTTATAAGTTTTGTAATTTCAAAAGCTTATATGATAGGTTATGATTTTTGATATATCCAAAGCTTATATATTATGTTTCTAATGCTGAACTATTCTAAATCAAAATATAAAACAAAGTTTAGATTGACCCAACATACAGCAGTTTGCAAAGTTTTTAATGGTTAATTGGTGTAAAGTTGTTCATGGTTGACTGATCTATAAAAATTTAAAGACCTGTCCACTCAAGTCTCTTAAGTTGTGTATTCTTCATAGTCTTCATTTGGAGAGAATTTCATCAGAGATTGTATTATTCTATTTATTGTGAATGTATTGTTTTTATGAAAACAGAATAATTTTCAACTGCTGTTTTAGTATTACGTTTTAAGGTGATTCTTTGCAGTAAACATATTTCTGTAAGTTACTCACATGTTTTTAAACATTAATGCCAGTGTTTTAAAGGAAAAAGGTCCATCTATTGTCATCTATTGTCATGAAATTAAGTTGAAAATTAGGTTATTCTCCGTTTTGTTCAAGGTGTAAGATTGTTTAAGTGTCTCGTTTTATATGTGAAAATGAAATGTGATGGTGAAAGTCTACTTTGAAAAAAACACAAACACACACAACAAATTTGTGACATGTCAGCTGTAATTGTGAAAAGTAATTTGTGACAAGTTCTACTGTTGTTATGTACTATTTTTTGAACAATTGTGATTTAGTGCTGATAAAGTGAAGTAATAAAAAAGATGCAAAAATAGCATTTAGCTTTTTTTTTTTAATGGCCTGATGCCACGTCCGGTTGATTATAATGATATTTTCTGTCTTATAATGATATTTTCTGTCGAATGATTTTGGTAAAGATCACCTTTTTAGCTCACCTGTCACATAGTAACATTGTGAGCTTTTGTGATCGCTTTTCGTCCGGCGTCCGTAAACTTTTACTTTAAATGACATCTCCTCATAAACCACTAAGCCAATTTTTCATCCAAACTTCACAGGAATGTTTCTTTGGTGGTCACCTTTGAAAATTGTTCAAAGAATTTAATTCCATGCAGAACTCTGGTTGCCATGGCAACCAAAAGAAAAAACTTAAAATATCTTCTTCTAAAAAAGTGAAAGAGCTAGAGCTTAGATATGTGGCATGAAACATCTTCTAGTGAGTGTCTACCAAGTTTGTTCAAATAAAAGCCTTGGGGTCAAAATTGGCCCCGCCCCAGGGGTCATTGATTTTCTTTATATGCATATAGTAAAAACTTAAAAATCTTCTTTTAAAGAACCCAAATAGCTAGAGCTAAGATATTTAGCATGAAACATGTTCTAATGGATGTCTACCAAGTTTGTTCATATAAGAACCCTGGGGTCAAAATTGGCCCCGCCCCAGGGGGTCATTGATTTTCCTTATATGTGTATAGCAAAAACTTAAAAATCTTCTTTGAAAAAAACCAAATAGCTAGAGTTTAGATACTAAGCATGAAACATCTTCTAGTGAGTGTCTACAAAGTTTGTTCAAATAAAAGCCCTGGGGTCAAAATTGGCCCCGCCCCGGGGGACATTGATTTTCCTTATAATTTTTATGTGTATAGCTAAAACTTAAAAATCTTTGAAAAAACCCGAATAGCTAGAATTTAGATATTAAGCATGGACAATTTTCTAGTAAGTGTCTACAAAGATTGTTCAAATAAAAGCCTTGGAGTCAAAACTGGCCCTGCCCCAGGGGTGTCATTGTTTTTAACTATATGTGTAAAGAAAAAACTCAAAAAATCTTCTTTTAAAAACCCAGCGAGCTAGACCTTAGATGTTTGGCATGAAAGATCTTATGGGTGTCTACCAAGTTTGTTCAAATAAAAGCCCTGGCCCCGTGTTCACAAAGAAAAGATCAGGATCAGGATCAAGTGATCCTGATTTTATTTTCATTGTTTTATGTTACTAAAATTTATTGTGATTTGCTAGAATTAAATAATAATTATTAAAAATGTAAAAAAATTGCCGATTTGAAAAGAAATCAAACTGTTTTGGGATAAAATTAGAAAATAACAACACAAATACAAAAATATTTGGATCAAAATAAGGATCAGTTTTAGGATCAGGATCAATATTTGGATCGACTGTAAAAATAACAATAAATTTATTCTAAAACTTCATTAATTTGCTATTGCAAGTCCAGTTTTATCAAATTAATATTAGATATTTAATATATGACAATAAAAAATGAAGAATATTAGAGTTTTTCAATTTGATCCTGATCTTGATCCTGATCCTGAAATCTTTGTGAACACGGGGCCTGGGGTTTAAACTGGCCCTGCTCCGGGGGCCTATATACAGGTGAGCGACTTCAGGGCCACCATGGCCCTCTTGTTTGGGGATCAGGATGGGTCTCGATAATAGCTGGTTAGTTAACCAGGAAGCGGGTGAAGTGGATCGATTGCCGTGATACGATCTAGTTGCAAGTTGGTACTTACCAAACTACTGAAGGGAAATGGGTTGAAACTTCACAGACGTTTTGAGAACATAATACAAAGACTATTCAAGGCTCATAACTCTAACGTCGATTTTACAGAATCGTGGCCCTTCTTGAACTTGGGAAAAAATTCAGGTTTTTGTTTTAGTATCAAGCACTGAGACAGTTTAGCACCTATAGCTCTTGTTGTTTATGGTTATAAAAGAAACAATTATGATAATGGATTTTGATACTTTGTCTTGACGAGTTCTGTCTGCCTTGCCAAGTTTTGGGCCTAATAATTATGATCTTCACTTTGTTCATATTGCTATCCAGCATTGAGAAAATTGGAGCGCGCTGCTCCTTGGACAGCTGTTTATGGTATTAAAACAGAATGAACTTTTCATGACCGTTGACAGGTAATAAAATGGAATGGAAAACAAAAAGTAAATTAAGTTTTCTTACAATTAACATAATGGGTAAATGCATTTACTTTGCATCTTCTAAGCTCGCAAGTCGCAAGATTGATACAGTTCGAATTAAGTAACTACAGTGAATGCAACAATCATTCAGAGAATGTGCTTGTGCTCGCAATAAACCATACATATTGTTTATACGAAATTGTAATGAACGAAAATGGGAGCGGTGGCCTTGTGATTAAGGTGTCTGCCTCTCAACCAAGGGATTACGGGTTCGAGCCTTCATCGGATCATGTTTCTTCATATGACACTAGTGTAGGTTGGTTCAAAGAAGCGGACTCGAAAGTGATTATTATAAGTTGCAAGAACTTGTTTCGCAATCGAGCTGACACAAATATGTTTAAACCAATAAACGATATGAACAGTGATTCTCAATATGCTACTAGTTGCGAACATTATTGATTGACAAACAAGAGAAGGCTCTGACCGCTGATTTAAATGAATGTGTCAGTTTCAGTTTATTAGAAACGTGTTGCGGAAATATCTACATACATTTATCGAGGTCTAAAATTCATTAGCACGTAGTCGTGTCTTTGCGTTGTTTAGCAAAATAAGTTTCCTATGTTTTTATATAGAAAAAAGAATCCTAGGTTAAGTGATTACCTCCCTTGACCGCGTGTTACAAGACTATGTATTTTTTCCAGCTTATGTTTTATAATTATTTAAAGGAACCCTACTGAGGGTTATAGACATGACGGACCTGAAAATATTTTCCCCATATAATGTGTTAGAAATGAGTTAGGTGGTCTTGCGAATTTTTTTATCTCAATTCCCATCCTGTTATTTCCAGCACACATTTTCAAAGTGAAAAATAGCCCCATAATAAAAATCGTTGCAACGCTTTTCTCTCAAATTCGGCTATCAATCGTATATAAATTTGATTTTCCATTTCATTTTAAGTATTTTCTTTTTATCCATTGCAGATTTTTCAATTGCAAGTGCTTCACTTGATATTTGTAATATTTTTAAATTTTAATGTTTTTATGCCTTTAAAGAGATACTCAGGCAAATTAATGACAAACATATCGAAGCGTATATATATCTATATATATATGTTGAACGAAAATACACGCCAACAGAATCACCGTGTACTTTAAGACTTGAACAAACCCTGGAAGTTACAATAATATATATTGTGGATATTGTATGATTGAAACAAGCTAAAGTCATTCATTTCACATATTCTTTAACGTTGCCAAAGTTCACTGTAACAACTATTGTTTTTATTTAATTAATGCTTTTATTTTTCATTCTTCTGCAATATAAACATTTTTAGCGAAATTATTAAGCATGAATACAAGTTATGAATGTTTTAAGCAATTTCCATTGATTCAAGGGAAATAAAAACATGAGAAAAATATGCTATGTGAGTAGCATTTCTCTCCCTTGAAAATAATAGTAGGTATCAAAGGGTATTTTTTCCTTTATCCGTTAAGCTGTTGTTTTATTATTCTGATCCTTTCAGGAATCATTGATTCAAGCACTTTATGTGTTGAAAATTGAGTACCATTCAAGGTTGTGTAGGAGCGTGAGCGATGTCTCACTTTTTCATTATCCGTTATGCAAAGACTCGATCAAACCAGGTCTGCAATTTTCATGCTTTTTTGTTGTTATTTATACTTCCGAGGTTTTAGATTTTTTCCCCATTCTGACATCCATTCGTTATCTGTAAACTACATGTACATTAATAATTAATATTCGTTGTTTTAATTGATGTAATTTGGTAACTCAATAGATTAATATTCTATTATTTACCTCATTGGGACTTCATTGATAAACTAGCATTTCTTTAATGTTATTTTGCACCTGTCAAATTGTCTTTTTTAAAGAAAGCCACGCAAAGATATCTAATAGACTAGAAAATGTGGCCTGACTTAATTGGAATGTTAATATGATTTATAAATGGGTATCTTCCAGGGAATAATAATAATATCTTATCTACCAAGCGAGAAGTAATAATAGGTGTATCTACCCTGCGAAAAATTATAAAATCAGTCAGACGAGAAATAAAAGAGATGTATATACAAAATGGAGAATAATAATGTCGTACCTTCCATGCAAGGGATAATAAAGAGGTATTGATAATGTCGTATCTACTAGGCAAGGAAGAATAAAGAAGTATCTACCAGACGAGTGACAATAAGAATGTATCCACCAGACGAGAATAATGTCACGCGATAAATGCTGCCGTATCTACCATGCAAGGAATAATAACGATGTAGATACCAGGCGAGGAATAATAAAGATGTATCTAACATGCAAGGAATTATTAACATGTACTAGTATCTTCCAAGCGAGGGATAATAATATATCTACCAGGTTGGCAATACGAAAGATACATCCACCAGGAAAGAGATAAGAAAGATCCACAACCAGGAGAGGAATAATAAATGGTGTATTTACCATCCAAGAAATGAGAATGTATCTACCAGGCAAGAAGTAAGAAAGATGCAACTACCAGGCGAAGAATAATTAAGATGCATATTTACCAGGCGAGGAATGATAAAATTGTTTCTACTATAGTCGAGGAATTCTGTCGTTATCTACCAGGTGACGAATGATAATAAAGATGTATAGATCTACCATGCAAGAAATGATGAAGATAATTATACGAAATAATCAAAGTGTATCTACCAGGCGAGGAATAATACGGAAGTATCACCCACGCAGGAAATAAAAAAGATGTTTCTATCAGGACGTGTGTTATTAAGATGTATCTACTCGAGGAAGAATAATATATAACAATAAATAAACATGAAAATTTGAGACAAAATATTTATTTGCAATAAAATATATACGAAGCAGTTGTAGAAATATGTTTGTATTTTTACAAATTGTGACTCTGTGATAAGATTTCAGCTGAAGTAACGATATATTTATACTAAAAATCCTGTACATACATGCATAAAGCTAGATTGCGCCATGAAGCGCAACAAATGAAAATAAAAAGCAGTAAAATGTAGCTCTAAGCTCACAAGAACTATTACAATGATTGTTTTCCCCTTTTTTACAGATTAAACACTGCACGTAAACTAGTTAAAGATAAAAAACACGGAAAAGAAATCATAACTGGTTGAATTATAGGCGTTTGACATGTAATAAATAGCCTATGTTATTTTTTTTAAATACCCTTACAAATAAAAAATGAATAATTACAGTAGAAAGTAGAGCATGACTTTGAAATACATTCGCCATTTTTAACAAGATCAATTAAAGCCTAGTTTGTAAGTATTTTGGATAATAATAATAATGAGTCATTGCAGCAAAGCAGGCATAAGGAGAATAATCATATAGAAGATGAAAACTTATTTTAAAATTGTCGTCTGCTAAAACACACTCGGAAGGCAGTGAAGTACTCGGACTCTGGTCTGGTACGGTCTGGTACCTAGCTTTTTGTAAAGATATTGTGATCGCCCTAGCAGTAAATGATAAAAATCCCAACACGGTTACCACGGTGCTTATATCACGTGACTATTTGTGAGCTTTGTGGGTCAGAAACTAATATAAAAGACGGTCCAGGATTTATTTTCTGCCATTTTTCAATATTTCTTTATTATTTTTTATTGGATACGTGAAGAGATCGCTCATTCTAGTAAGGGACCCATACATAAAATGTTTGCTAAAAGTCATCTTTTTTCGCATGGATATCTGACTGTTCAAATACTTGGTTTATTTTCCCGTGAAAATGCAGTTTTTTCTACAACGTTTCTCAGTATTATAATGAGATGGTTCTGCACTTTATCTTTGTAAAAATAATGAAATATATAAATGATAGCGAAACACAATAAATCTGGACTATCTGTTGTACTGTTGTTTTTTTTGGGATAAAATATCACGTGGTATAGGCTCCGTCGTTGCAAAAATAATTTGTTTTTCGTTTTAGAGAAAATACATTAACACTTGTCAATAGAAGATAAAAACAGTATACAATAATTTTTTCTAAAATAGGATATTTTTTTGTAAACTAATACATAGAACTGTTTTAATAAGAACGCTTTGTACATAACGTAAGTACTATACTGTTTTTTTTCAAAGTCAAGTAGGTATATATTTGTATTTATCTTTTAGAAAAGAGATTGCATACTGCCATGCATATTCAAACAACTGACAGAATAAGCTCAATATTTAGCAGACGGCATCTTAAGCTAATACACTTTTCAAATAATTATCTGACATTTATTTTGGAATATGTTTCATCTAAAGATGGAGTTGATGCGAATTGAATAATATCCGCAATCACAACTTCATGTTAATGTTCAGAGTAATAACGTCATTCCTTTTAAAAGCAAGTGCTATTACAATTAATATCAGAGCCAAATTTTAGTAATAGTGATAATATATCAACATACAATCCATCGACAACTTTCTGTTAAAACGAACATATTTTCCTCTATAAGATGCTGCTTAAATGACAAATGTGTATCATTTCGATATCCAGAGCACTATTATTATAACATTCGTCTTTTTCAGTGTCAACCAAAACATCGTTTTTTCATGCGTAGTACATGCACATGAGTACATACAGAAATGTATATAAAGCATTTGAATTTCATTCGTTTTAGCACGTAACGCAAGCATCACAATAGATTATATCTTTATGCATTTTAGTTCACTGTAATCGGCTATATATCAAATCCGTCTGAATTCGGTTGCTGGATGGCAGCTTCCTCCATAATAATTCCTTTATTTCTATCGTCAAGGTACACCGGATTAGTTACACCAGCAGCTGGTGGCATGTTCGCCGGTTCATCGCCATTATCCTCATTATCGTTTAATTTCGATTTAGAAAAATGAGCTTTTAACTTTGATAGTGTTACCCGTCCGTCTGCAGCAGGCTGTGAAGCAGACGGATTTGGGTCATTCATGTCATTGTGCACTAAAACCTTTTTGATTTCTCCATGTGGCCGTGATCGGCGATAGAGTATATAAACACCGATAGCGATTATCGCCACTAGGATCACTATTATAGAAACTGTCACTGCAATGACAATGGAGTTACTTCCCTCTAAAACTTCCGGCATCATTTTAGACCTTTCTGCTTTATCCTTTTCAGTTGGTGATGTAGTCATTTCCCCTGAAATAGACAAACGTCATATAAGATATGCAAAAAGACCCTTCTGTAAAGTGTAAACCTACAGACAATGCTATAAAAATAGCATTGATACGCCTATGGCGATTATGTTACAATTCTTTAGGTTTAACATTTTCTGAAGCAGGACATATCACGAGAACTGATAAGATTTTATGAATTCAGAGAAAGGGATATACCTCGAGAGCAATGATAGATAAATTAAAATAGATGGACGTGTAGGCTCGGTTTATAAAGTCTGTTCATGAGAGATAGTGGAAAGAGATGAAGCAGCGAGACAAGATGAACACATTAATCTAGCACAAGCTTCACAAAACGCTCTTTTATTGTTTATATTAAAGTTTATTTTTGTTTTGTACAGTTTTAAGTCACACCAACACAATAATGGTCATATAACTACATTCCTAACATAAAAGAATCCAAAGTTCCTCATGCAGAATTCGAATCTACAGGGAGAGGTCCAAATGTAGTGGTTTGAAGTCAATAAATTCAACCATTCGGCCACGGACACCCCTTTTATCACAGAAGGTTAGATTTTAAACCATTATGTTGAATTTGCACATATTTATTCTTAAAAAAATCAAGATAGAAAAAAAGATAGAAACTTCTATATATTCCAAAAGTAAAACTAAACAAACAAAAGTATCAGTAAAAATCTTTATGAAATGTTAATAGATGAAATTTATGAAACTTTCAAATAAAATTCCATATGTAAGACTAATATGAAAAGAACATTAGTTTTATACCAGAGCAATAAACACCCGCGTCTTCTCCGTGGTTACAGTTTTGTACAGCATAGCTATTGTGAGGACAATCTTGAAGACTTGACTCATTTCCATGACATCTAAGATTATCCAGCCATACTGGACCTCTGCCTCTGCCAAAATGAGCTCCTATATCGAGATGAACGAATAAATCATTATTAAATCCCCATCATTGAAATTTATTACGGAAACGTGTTTTTATTGACAAGTATTATTTTTGTTCTTCGTTATTTTACTCAATACAAGTGAAACGGTGATAAGCTTAATATGTTATTATAATAAAATCAAATCATAGGAAACTAGATTTCTGTTACTGCCTTTCCAGTCAGTACAAAGACGATTTCGCTTTGAGTATATACAAATTTTGAAACGTATATTTTTCATCTTCTGATAAACATATCTTGATATAAACATTGAAATTACCAGTTTTATATCACTGATATATTTCTATAAACCACCGAAAAGCATGTAATAAAAAGTTAGCTTTATTGAAACGTGTGTGCCTCCCACAAGATTTTTAGATTGAAATATTACCTTTAACACCTTTCCCCTCAGAGAATCCGAGTTGTCTACAAACAACCATGGCATCCTGATCTCCCCAATAATCATCACAAACTGTACCCCATTGATCCGGGCCTGCCAGATAAACTTCCACACGCCCGTATGTTGGGTCATTCTGGGCGTTAACCAATCTGATGTCTGTTATTTCTGTGTTAAACATGAACGGAAGCATTCGTAAAAGTATTAAATGTTTAAATGACAAACCCGAAATAAAAATGGCGAGACAATTCCTTAGAAAAATCAGACTTACTTTATATCAAAATGTATTTACTATTCATAATTTCTCAATTTCTTGACCTTTTCCTTTATAAAAAGTAGGACTAATAAAAAATGACGAAAACTACATATACACAAAAAGTAGGAATAACTAGTGAAAGCTTAAAGTCTGCAAAAAAAAAAAAGAAAAAGAAGAAAGAAAACCCCAAAACGAAAATCAAATTCAGTTACATTAACCACTTGTCATTGTCACATGGGCTTTAGTATTTTGTAGAGTAACATAACAAAGTATGAAATAATTGAATGAGATATTAGCATACACTTTGTATCGTCACCCGACACTGAATTTCTTTGTCAAGACCCATTCTGACCTTCTCAAATCAAACTAAGCAGATTTGTGCCATATTATTTTAATCTAACCATGTTAGTAAATTCTCGTATTCATTTAGCTCAATATCAACAATGATTATAGTTTGTCATGATATTTTATTTTTCTACAAACCTAATTCTCTATTAAAACATCTAGCTGCCGCATCATGTGACCGGGTTCTACATAACCCTGCATAAACCCCTTCCATTTCATCCGAGCTGTTAAAACCAGTATGTCGACACTGTAATATACTTTTCTCATCGCCTTTGCAACTAACACGTGTAAACCAAAGTGGTCCGTTCACGTGACCGTATCTAGCGCCGATAACTTCGAGTCCGTCCTTGTAGCCAATGTTTCGACAGAATACTCTAGCGTCCCTAGAGTCCCATAGCCAGTCACATATACTGCCCCATACACCGTTGTATTTCATTTCTACACGGCCTCGGTCTCCTTCACCACCTCCAAGCCGGAACTCCAGTCCTAAAATCATTCACATTGTTGACATTCTGATTATTCAAAGAACAATGACATTTTTTATTACACCAAGAAAACTGTCCAGTGCTATTTTGATACACTTCCTAAATACAAAGTAAATAGAAAAAAATACACAAGTTAAGACTCGCTGACCTTTGCCTTTACACAAAAGTCTTCAGGCCCACACAGGAGATAAATACTCGAAACTGTAACAAACTATGACAGGAGGACGAATATAAAGTTACGTCAGCAACTTTATGTCCCACTACTTTTTTAAGTTACGTCAGCAACTTTATGTCCCACTACTTTTTTTTTTATCTAAGACAATATCAGCAAGTACCACTAGTAATCGCTTGATTAAAAGCACATGCTCATCAGAAAGCTTGTTTTTTGGAATTTGAAATTACACAACATATCTGCTTTTGTTCTTGAAAATAAAGATAAAAATGATTTAAGTTTAAATATGAAATAGCTTCTTAAAGAAGTCTAGCGTGCTGCTACTATCGATAAGTGCTTGTGGGACAAACCTGCATATCAACTCTTAAAAGACTTTGTTTATTAATGAGAGAACTTATTTCGCAACCACACTGAAATAAATATGCTATTGACTATTAACTACTATTACTACTGACGAATACTTACTAGTGTCATTATAGCAAAGCACTCCAGCCCTTTGTGCATAGTAATCACAAACATTTGACTGACCCCATCTTGCGTATGAACATTGTTTTAGTGAGGGCTCGGTGCCCATACATTTTACTTTGTTCATTAGGATTGCGCTCGAGAGATTCTTTGGTGGTCTGTAGGCCTGTCCCCCGGCATAACCAAGTTGTCTGCAAGCAACATTCGCGGCTTTGTCATCAAAACTATCAGAGCAAACACTTCCCCAAACACCATCTAAATGAACCTCGAGAAAACCATGGAATTTGGAGTGTTCTTTATCGTAATCGGGTTGCACACGTACATGGAAACCTTTGAAAATAGACAAAACGCAATCATTGAGTTTATGTTTATAAATGTTAAGCTAAATGGTCCATTTTTTAATAATCAAAGTTTTCACTGAATGAACAAAATGAAATATTTTGTAGAAAATTTAATTTAACTTTTGACAAAGATACATTGCTTAAAAACAACAACATGGACTCTAGTACTCTCGGCTGTACAATTATTTACTTTGGCCATTTGTTTAAATTTGGTTTGGGCAAAATGTCACCTTAAGAGCCTTAAATATTTAAGTTACGTCTAATCGGTGTTATCTGAATATCATCGATATATCATGTGGAAACAAACCTGTGTCTACGATGACAGAGTCACTACAATATACCGATGCATACTTCCCAGATGAACATTCTGAGGAAAACTCCATCTTACAATTCTTAAACTCTCTCTCGTCCCCATCACAGTTCACTGAATTCACTCCTGAAATAATTTAGACATTAATATAAGTAAAAAGCATAAACGTTAAAGATGAAATTCTGAATTTTTAATTTCTTACAATGGAAAAAAATCAATTGACATGGAACCAATACATTTTTAGATCGTTGTAATATTTTCTGTTGCAACTCATTATCCGATTCCGTTTCTTAAAAAGGCCTTTCAAAATTGAAAACATGTTCGAAATAACCTACCTATTGAACTCGAGAGGTTTCCAAATGCTGACCCTTGTATAACTTTACCATCAGCGAACCCAAGCGTCCTACATGCCACCCGTGCGTCACGTGAATCAAAGTCTTTGTCACACACGGAATGCCATTGGCTGTTGTGGTAAACTAAGACTCCGCCCATTGAGACATTGAATCTACCGCTCAGTTTCACTGGAAAAATTGACAAACATAATTAATGTTTAATTAATTATATGTCATAAAACCGTTTGCTTATCTTTAAAAAGAGTTATACTATGAAAATCTGACCATCAAAAATTTGTGCATTAGCAGTGACAAATAGCTTAAATTTTGCTACAAGCAAGAATGGAATTTCATGAGCAGATCAATTTTTACAGTTTAATAATCTTAGTTTAAAAGCTTAGAATGATAGAAATTTAGTATATGAGAATACATTCGCAACATATTAACAAGAACAGCATCAGCAGCAACAATAACAATCAGCATCAGCATCATCATTATTATCATCTCCCCCTCCTCCTCGTCATCAAGATTAATTATGGCAATAAAAAAATAAATGGTGTTATATATATGATAGTGTAGTAGTAATGCAGCCATGTTCACGTTTTACTTACAATCATTGATACAGTATACACCAGCATCATCTTTATGAGACTTGCACTTCCACCAACCAATCGATCCGTCAGAAATTGCACTGTTAAAGCCTCTATGTGGACATTTATGAAGAGCAGGTTCATTCCCAGTACATTTCAAATGGCTGAGCCATATCGGGCTAGTTTTTCCTTCTCCGTAAAATGCCCGTTTGAGGGCAAAACCATCATGGTAGTTTTTCTCGCGACACAGAACACGTGCATCATTATCGTCCCATGACGCGTCACAAACAGTGCCCCATACATTGTTCAAGGCGACTTCCACACGACCAAATGGGCTGTTCTTATCCTCTGGTTTCTTGTCGTTAACTATTCTATAACTTATTCCTGTTGCAGAAAAAACAGAGAAAAATGTCAATGTAACATTTCGAACATTGTTTTGAACCGTACAGTGCATAGCAGCTGGGTACCACTCATTATCAACAAACAGACAATGCATTTTCTAATTCCAGCAATAGTGTATATAGAGGCACACTGGTTGCATTAACGTTGAAATTTTCTGCAAAATTTGCAGAACCATGTAACATAAGCGCAATGGACGAGCCCTTCTTTGGGCTTGAATTTGTCCTTTATTAACTTAGGATTAGTTATTATTTCAAAATACTAAAAATGAGAATACAATCAGAATAGGTTTACGTTAGTTTGAATAGCAATTAGCTTCCGAAGTGTCATAATGTCTTGTATAAATGCAATTTTTATAAAATTATAAAATTTAATATCAACAATGATAAATGTAATAATACTTAGTGTATTCTAAAACAATCAATATTAAAATTTAGGGCAGCTGTAGTCTAATGAATCGTTCCAGTCAAGCTTGGGGCCACGATCATGTTTTCTCATATAACACCAGCATTAGGTAGTTCCAGATAGCCTACTTAACAGTTGTTCAATTCAGCAACAAGGTTTCATCACCGCCAGCATAAGTAAATAATCTTAACACAGACATAATATAACATAATATATTTTAGTTATCATTAGTTTATGTTTTATTAACACCTATATTTTATAAAACACGACGTCAATTATTTAATATTGTCAAATATGTTTATTGCCTTTTAAGGCATGAAAATTATAGTCTTTGTTGAAAGGTGGTTTGAAAAAATACCGTAGCTGTAAGGTAACATACCATTGTCATTATAGCACACGGCAGCAGCGTTAGTACGATCGGTACAGTTCTTCGAGACGAGTCTGTCATTAAACTTGCAAGCGTCAATGGAGGGCTCATTTCCCTCACAATGCACATCACTAATCCAATAAGGTCCACGGCTTAATAAGGGAGAAAACTCGTTATCAGACTGGTGATAAGCTACTCCATGCTGGAAACTCATGCTTCTACATAACACCTGAAAGTTCAGATACACAGCTTCAAAATCCATTTAAATGAAGGGAGACACTAAGTATATAAGGCGGATAAATGTACGCTAGCGTAGCAATTTATGTTGCAAATCAATGTGAAATGAGAGAAAATGTTGCATTAGTGATTAATTATTTATGTATATTTAATATACACGAGATAAAGTAATGAGATTATTGCAATTATTATAGTCATCATATTAATATAAAATGCCGGACACACTACAATATGATCATTCCAAACCACGTTCTATTTCTTTCAGAATACTTATACAACAATACTTAAACAATATCAATCTGGTTTCAAATATAGAGGTTTATAACAGAAACCAAGATCTGCCTTTGATTAACGATGGACATTCTCAAACTGTGCTAATACAGAATTTTTACGCCATGCATGTTCAAGGATATCCTTTAAATAATTGTTCACCGAAAGTTTTAGTTACCATGGCATCAACATCATCCCATCCCGAAGAGCATATTCTACCATACCGACCATAGTGCATGACCTTCACTGTACCCGAATAGTCCCCACCATTGCCTTTCTGAAGCTCGAATTTATAATCTGTATAAAAAGTAGAATATATTGGATGAATATGTATTTCAATAAGAAATTTCCCGATTAATTATCACAGTTATATACAATAATACAAAACATTGTATTTAATGACTTAGATAACCCCTTCACAAAAGCAAAATTTTAAGTAGCTCTCTATTAAGTAGCGTTCTATGCATAATTTCCTTCACCGTTTACAGTATTAAATCGGTTTGGTTGAGAAAAAATTTCTAAAAAAGTTCAAAAAGTATTTACACACCTTCCTTCAATGGCAAATCAATCTTCTTAAAGCATGCTGCAGATGCGTAGAAATCCGATTGGTTGCACGGACCCTCTCGGAGACAACTTTCTATTGTTTTGGAATCTTCGCCACAAGAAAGCGTCTTATTTTCTAATATATCTTCATAAATCTTTCCATAAGCCGATCCGCTGATAGATTTGCCATCATCAAAACCGAGGTCTTGACAAACTAGCTTGGCACTGTAATCGTTGAACCCTTTATCACAGACTGCTTCCCAAGTATTTTTGTCGGAGTTGTAATACAATACGGGACCATGGGATACTGTTCTACCTACACCGGAACTAAGCTTAACTGAAAAGAAATGAATACAGGAAAAGATTACTTTCTAAATTCATAACTCGATGCTATAATTTCTTTCAATATTGCAGAAGAACAGAAGTCTTTTATCTACATATATTAGGACGATGTTCGGTATCTCATCAATTAAGAATATATGACTGCATTCAAATCTCATGTTGAAGTGACAGAAGTTAATAAATACGTTATAATTTCCGTGATCTTGCAGAAGAACATAATTCTTTTATCTACATATTAAGACAATGTTCGATATCTCATCAATTAAGAATATATGACTGCATTCAAAGATGTTCAAGTGACAGAAGTTGGATAGTTAATTGATACGCATTACATTTGACTTGACAGCATAACGCCAATTATAATGTGAATACATGTAGTATAATTTTACAAGAAAATATACCTGAATTGTAACAATGAACTGCAGCGTCTTTGGAATGATCGGCACAATTTTTGTCTGGGTTTGGTTGTTCCCAACCCTCATGTGGACAATCTTGTAAAGATTCCTCGGACCCATTACAGTGAAGATTTGATTCGTACACTTTATCTGGCGGATCACCAAACTTTCCTGTGTAAAGTGGGAATCCAGTAACGTAGCCGAAATATCGGCACAACACTTTAGCATCGTTTATATCCCAATAACGGTTGCAAATAGTTCCCCATACTCTGTCAACTGACACTTCAACCCGACCATAATTGTGGTCGGGCCCGCCTCCTACCATCCTATAGGCAACACCTGGAATTTCCACATGAAAACTTTCTACAGACCAATATTCATTATTAATTGGAAGCTCTAAGCTTTGATACACCTCTTAACTCAATTATTGTATTTTTTCTTTAATGCTTTCTAAACAATCGTTATTAATTCATAGATTACTTAAAGATCAATGCTAGTCAAAATATACATTTTGCAACTCATCAACATAACATAAAATACTGAAATATTGAACTGAATAATTGAAATATTCAATAGCAAACAACATACCAAACGCCTCATAGCAGTGAGCTCCAGCATAGTGTCTCCCTACACAGTCCTTGACGTGTCCGTATGGTGTTTTTGGACATTCATCAAATGTTGATTCGGTACCTGAACAGTTCACCTTTGATGTCCAGAATGGTGCATTATCTCCCTTTCCAGTGCTCCATTTGTAATGGAAATATGCTTGACCTGAATCAATGATCAATCACTGTTACAAGAACATATTATCTTGTTTTACTAAAGAAATCTTTGTTTTATTAGACATGCGCTTTATTATCATACTTACCAATCTGATTACTTCTTTTGTTTCTTTGCTTGACAAAGTTCCTTAAAATTCTTGTATCAAATAAACTAATATTAGCACTATTCCTCCAATCAGTTAGTGACACTACATCAATTATGAAATATTTTGTACATGCGGATTAGATGAGATTTGTCAAGATGAGAATTCGGAAGTGTAACAATAATCAATTCCATTACATTCCTGCATTAACAAGACGATATACATTGTATAAACTTTATAATCACAAAGTCAAAAAAGAAGAATGCATGTTCGCACTAAATCGCACAACATAACCAACGTACAAGGAAAACGATGAACAAAACGGCTGTTCTATGCATGCAGGCACTTACTAACGCGTATAAAACTGAAGACAATGAAAATACAATTTGCATATCATAATTGTTTACATTACAATACTAGTTAATACATGCAAGCACTGACACACACGAAAATACAAATATATGAATGAAGTTCATAAAATGTACATACCATTTGCATATCCCAATTGTTTACACACAACCGTAGCATCCCTGTCGTCCCAGTCGTCGGCACAAATTCGTCCACTTACATTCATAAAGTTCACAACAACAGGTCCAGCGCCATTCTTCCCAGCCACAGATATCTCTGCCTCTGAAGATAAGAAATTCAATGCTTTATACAAAACTTGAAGCTATCAAAATAGTTAAATATTGAAATAACTATTTTATAATAAAAGTTTCAGCGTAATATTCAATAAATGATTGTCTATACCTTACTTCTTATTGGGCTTGCCAAGTCAGACCAAGGAGACGATTCATACAGCTTAGTCCATGCAAACAATAACATGTCATGAATGTTTATTATTTTTCCAATAAAATAGAATCCACTCTTTGTTTGTTTCTAATTAAACATTTTTGGCAAAATAAAAGGGGAAAACCATCACCTCATACCACTGTATCCGCATAGCTCTTGTATGTATCTTGTTTCTTTGTCATTTACCATTTTGGCAAAATAGAGGGGACAGCTATAACCACTGATGTGTTTTATTACATAAACACTTTACTTATCCATACCAATTTTGATAGATAATATGCTGGTTAAATGTATTCATTATTTGTTTAAGGCAAAATACTAGTAGGTAAAAGGGACAGTAAGACATTACCTTTGGGTAGTGATCCATTGAAGCAGGCTGCAGCCGCGTAATCCATGGAACACATAGAACCATATGGCAGTTCATGGGGACAATCAGTTAGTTTAGCCTCATTTCCCTTACATTTTATTGTTTCCATGGTTCCATGTGATTTAATGTAGCCATAGGGCGAACAACATAGAGGCACACCTGAGTCAAAGCCTAACTGAGAGCATGTAACATCTGTAAAAAAGGAAGGTGGATTAAAATATTTTGTTTAGTCCATAAATGCCGGCGGTGATGCTTTAATTACAGTGCAACCTTCATATGGCGGCCCTCTGTAGAGCAGTTACCTCTTTACAACAACAGTTTCAATTATGCCTTAAATAAGATAAACAAGATTAACACATTAATTACATTAACATATTTAATGGCAACACCTCAAGACAACATTCAAGGTTTTTTTTTTATCTCCTTTACAGTTTTACTTTGCAGAGGTTGCACTGTATACTAAAGCCTATGCAAAAGATATTTATTCATATAATTATTATTGCCTTAATCAAACAGAGGGGTATAGCCGAACATACACACTAAGCAAATTTAGTTAATTTAAAATGCAATATTGAGTCAAAATGATTTTTAATTTTTATACTAGTACTTTGGAGACCAATAATTGCATTAGGAAACTGTTAACCGACCCTAGGACAATATTAAGTGTTGATATATGAACTAAATACAAAATTGCTTACCAACATCCGTCTGGTCCCAATGATCATTACAAACCAGGCCCCAGTGATTATTTATATTGACCTCGACAGCTCCATGAGACTCAAAGTTTCCTTTGGTCAGCATCACTAAAATATATAAATGTAATCCTTATTACAAGTCTTGTTTCTTAGAAAAAAAATCTTAAGCGACCAAAAAAAATATATAAAATAAACAAAACCCAACCAACTTCAAAAAGAAAACGATAATAATTTTTTAAGACGCTTACAAGTCTCTGAAAACTTTAATATATTGAAGTAATGATAATTTTTAACTCATTTTAATCATCGAATTTTGGAAACATTGAAACAGCCAATTTTGGAAACAATCAAAGAAACAAAGACTAGCTAAGTGCATTAGGTAAGCACAAAGTAATGTACTTGTGTCAAACATTTTACCTCATATAGTTTTTCTTGTTTAATCTGCTATATATATTTATCATTTGACAATTTGAAATGTTCCGTGTGATGTCACATTTTACCCTCACATTAGTCTTAAATCAATATTAACAGGGACCTGATATATATGGTTTAGGATTCGTCTAAAACTATCTAATAAGCCGAGTTTCGTAGATAGTCATAAAGTTGAATAACAAATACTTCCATTTGACTTTGTACGATAACAATTTCGTCTTACCAGATTTAAGGCAAACGACACCAGCATCATCACAGTTGGCTGAACCAGGCGTCCATGTATTACTACACTCTAGTATACTTTTCTCTGTTCCACTACATTCTATATAATTCATCCACACGTGGCCTTTGCTTCGGGTGTCAAATGTGCTTTTAATGCCATCAATATATCCAAGTTGTCGACAGAACACACCCGCCTCCTTGTCGCCCCAACTGCTATTACAAACACGGCCCCATTCACCATTAAACATTATTTGTACCCTACCCTTTTCGTCAACTCTAAACTTTACGCCCTCTGAAAAATATTTTTTAGTAAAATACTAAATTTAATTATATATAAATTTTCGAATTTCTTCAAAAGAAAAAACATCTAAATAACAGATAAATAGTACAATGCATAAAAATTTCAGAATTACCTTTATGATTGTAGCAAAGAACGCCAGCAGTTGGTCTCTGAAATCGTCCTTTTATTGGATACTTGCAGCCGATATCTTCATTGAAACCACTATAACTGCACGAGCTAAGATTCATTTTGTTCCCCTGACATTTGAAGTTACCTAATGCCATTGGCGAGTCAAGTCGACTAGTTCCATTATAAGCCATGCCTCCCACGTAGCCAAGCTGTCGACAGGTGGCATTAGCCGTTGAGTCTGTCCAGTTTAGAGGACACACAGGACCCCAGAAACCATATTTGTTGACCTCCAAGGAGCCATAATAGAGACCTCCTTTGATCTTGAGATCTAGTGATTCTACAGGGAAAAGACACCAATACGTTAATTCTAAAAACAAAGGTGCTTGTACTTGTATATTTAAATATTTTGTTCAGTACAAATGCTTTTCCTTTTAGTAAAAACAGAATATCAGACCAATGGCATGTTCATTACTCTTTGTATATAATTATCTTTATCTGTGTTTATGTATTTTGAAACATATGAAATATAATAAAGACCTAAACGTTGTCATATGAAAGATTACTCTATTTGGTACAATCAAGTTTAACCAATGGAATTATCTCCTGTAGTTAGAGATTGTTGTCCTTATATTCTTTTCTCCTGCAGATGATTTACCTTTGATTTTGATAACCGATTCATTACAATAAACTGTGACATAATTGTTTGATGGACAAATTCCTTGAGTGTATTTACAGTCCTCCAATCTCTGTTCACCTCCATTACAACTTAGTTCAATTATAGCAATCTTCTCACTTCTGTTAGCACCCAAAACAGAACCTGCAATTAGATTAGTTAATTGATTAACAATATGTTCCTTATACTAATAGCTTAAACTGTTTCATGTTGGAAACAAAAGTGATTGCATTTTGCCACAAGTAAAGAGCTCGGTCAGCCTGCACATTTGTCTAGTCTGATTAAACTTTTTACTATTGGTAGCTCATTTCTTGCCTTTTGATAATGATATCCCTTACTGTTTCCAAACTCAGAGCATAATTTGAAATTAATGTAAAACTTTAAGCAGTATAAGAGTTAACAACCATACAATTTTGTTTGCATGGGTTTTATTTATACTTTCCACATTAAACTCGTGTAAGCGACTTTTTCATTACACTAATGACTAATGATATAAATCTCTGTCCGAATGGAAATTAGAGTTTAGTTACAAGTTACCTGGTTGAAATTTTCCGTCGACATATCCAAGCTGGCGGCAAGCTACGCGAGCTGTAACCTGATTAAACCCATTGTCACAGACAGCGGACCATTTTGTCTTCTCGTCATACATCTCCAATATACCGTAATTCAAATCATTTGTGTTGGAAAGCCGCACTGCAATATCAGAATTATTAATTAAGTAAACTAGATCTACCAAACATTCGACATTATCATTTTCACTTCAAATTATGTAGGAAAGTCGCAATGTAGTAATAAACAAGACACCCCGATCATCCAACATTATTTATTTCATCAGAATTTACTTACAATTTGTAACATAATGTATATTAAAATTTGTATGTCTTTCATCTGACACATGATACATCTGACTAGTCATTTAAATTTATTTAACTCATTTTTCAAATCAAATATCATGATAGATTTTGATTATATATTTTTTTTCTTATTTTCTTTAATTTTATTAAATCAAATTTTAAGTTTTAAAAAACATTTGTGATATAAAGATGATACAAAAGTACAAACAGTATGTACGTATATACGTTTTGCCTTTATGAAAACATTTCAACGAGAATAATATTATTATGATACAATATATAATAGTACATGCTTAGAAAAAGAAAACGCCAATATGTACTATAATATACGCAAGAGAGGAGCAAAAGCTTAAATAATGATTTGGAGAAAACAGAAATGATTTATATGTATATAATTATCTTATTTTAATTTGAAGACATCGTCAAATAAAACCAGTCTTTCTTTTACAGACAAATATGAGAAAAAAAATTTCTGTATTCAAAATGCACAAATTAATATATTTTTTGAAAAAGTGTGTTAATAGATTTTCATGCAAATGGCTTGCAAAGCAGCATAAAGCAGATATAAATTTTTAAATGAACGTACCTCCATTTTAAAATCAGTAATTAAAAATAAAAATTTCTAACACAAGTTGCTTTTAACCAATAATAGCTACTTAAACATTTGCATAATATACATTATCGAAGTACATATGAATACACCAAGAAAGACTTGTTTGAAAATTGTTTAAACGATTGGACATTTTAACTAAAATAAAGAATAAAGAATGTCAGATCAACTTAATACAACGACAAAAGGTAATTAAATAATTTCTACTAAGCCAAGAGTGAAGACATATTCTTTGAAGGTACATTCACTGAAAACAAGCACCCTTACCACATTACCACCACCTTTTATGCTGAAAAAAAAACGTATTGAAAAGTAATGGTTATAACGTATAAAATGATTAATATAACATTTTTATATCTAATAACGTTGGTCCAAACTAAGGTAAACTTGAATATTTGTGTTGATAAATGACTTTTCTCTATTCTCTTACAATGGAGTTGAAGTTTTCAATATGGTCATAAAATTTGATTGTGAAATACATCAAATTTTTATTGCTTGAACAACTGAAAAATAAAAGTTGACACAGTAATTACTTTGTTTGGAATGATTTTGAAACGCTTATATCAACCATAGATCTATCATTTGCTTTTTAAGATCTACAAAAGTATTTATATCTGAAATGTCAAATTACTGGATATTCAAATGAATGACTTGCTTTATTTATCAAATGAAATTGATGTCTTAGACCTGAACATAACACGAGAATTACACAGCAAACACAAATGTACAAATAAGATAATTAGATATAACTTTCTCATCAATAAATTCAATAAATGTTGACATTTGTCTCATGCTTTGTCGTCTTAAGACAGCAGTTTATTAAGCAACCTTTTTGGTACTTTTCCTTAGTCGCTTAAAAAGTTTGACTGTATTAGCTTGAAAAATACTTTGTTCGAGCGCTCAAAGACTAAGAATATTTACAATAATAAAATGACTGAGAAAGAAAGAACATTTTCAAACTAGAATTAGCCCAGACACACCGAGAGTGTATACAAAATGGCATTAAAGATTCACTTTTTTTAAAACAATGAAAGAAATTAGTACCATGGAAAAATCCATTGTCATTTCAGGTAATGGAATAAGCTAATTAAACCATGTACATATACCGGTGAATACAATGATATTTTGTGACAGAACAAATATACTTTTAAACAACGATAGTGAATTGATTGCATCGATATATAAAATGAAATATGTAATCTCCAATTTCAATAAACAACATTATTTTCGGATAAAAAAATAAAAGTTGTGTACAAATTCTTAATTACTAGTGGAGTTAATTTGGTTCTTTCTTAAGATAAATCTCCTAGTTAATGACACTATATCTTCATATTTTGTTTAAATACAGTGTATAGCATTTAAAACGTAACATATCTTCTCTGTGTGTACTCAAAAATATTTGTTTTATAAATAAGTTATTGTATAAAATCATCAGTATTTTCAAATATGTAATTTGAGCATAATATATCTTTAAGTAAGTGCTCAAAATAATACAGGATACAAAAATTAATAGTTGTTCTTAAAATGTTTTTTAAAATAATAATTATCAGAATAAGTGACAATGTGACACATGAGACTAACTAACTATCTAAATGCATCAATAAATTGATTGAAATATAATAACAAGAACAAAAATCTGTGCCCGAAAAATGTCATCATATTATAACAACAGATATTATCCAGAACTAGGCAATTACGGCTCCCCACTTCAAATCCCCGGGTACAAACACATTTTATTCCATTATAGCATCACTGTGCATTTGCCAAGGTTTTATCTGTAAAACTTTGCTTGTACTCCGGGATAAGATTTGGGAAAAAAATTGCCATGGTCCGGAGTATCTCTTTTATTTATGCTTAATAAGCTAAGTAAAATGAATATCCATGCTTAAATTGTCACCAAAAATAATTATTTATGCACAAAATGTTGCAGCAATAAAGACCGAGGCTATTACTAGAAACAAATTTACCGGTGACTCAAATATAACAATTAGTGCCTATACTGAGAACAAACATTGGTGCATTCATAAATAAATGCTATTTTTTTTTAAATATTGGTGCAAAAAAGTTTATTACATGAATTTATGTGCCCATACAATAAGCAAAAATTTATATGTTGGTGCATTAATACATATTGGTGCTAAATGTTTAGAAAATAAATATTGGTGTTAAAATGCAAGTAAAAATACTGTTGCAATATATGAAACCTAAGATAAATATGTGTGCTTAAAATGTAACTAAAACAAATATTTGTGCTTATAATGTTATCAAAGAACAAAAATGTAGTGTTCAAACTGCTGTCTTTTATCGAAACAGAAATTCCGTTCTGATATGGTAGCAGAAGTAAATAACTTTGCCGAAATGTATACTAGTGGTCGAACATTCTTATATACAAACGAAATAGGAATATGCGCTCGAAGTGATACATAAAAAAAGTGATTCTTCAATTGTAAGGCACAAATATTACACGATAAAGGTAATAAGGTGCATCAAATACTGAAGAAGAAGAAAGGATATAAACTGGTGACTAAATGCTATACAAATAAGCTAGAGGAAAAATAATTGTAGCAAGGAGAAAATATGACTAGCGATCTAAGATTAAATGATATTTATGATAGACAAATTACTGCAGAATTGTTTATTCTTAAATATAAAAGGTTTACGAAAATATCTTTAAAACATGTCAATTAGAACTAAAAACTATTTTGAAATAAACTACTTTAACTCTTAAAAAAGCGTCTACCTAATGTAGTAAAACAGACAAAACAAACTAAAGCGCTCTAACTAGAAATAACACCAACAAGTATGTAATCAATACTTTTTTCATAAATGTTTAACTTTCCCAAAATTACCTTTGTTGTCTCTGTGGAGAGCAACCACTAGCTACAGAACTTGCCGAAACAACCAAAAACGGGTAGACTAATACGCAACTATAGTAGACCAAGTTACCGACTTCTAAAAGCCTACATGTCCTATTTTACAGAAAGTGCATTGCTGGTACCAGTTGTGTGGTTATATGTATATAAATAATATATCTATGCGCTGGTTCCTGTTTCCATTGAAATGTGCACCTAAAGGATATAGACTGTGTGCAATATATTGGCCTGGTCCCTGGTGAGGCAGTAATATTGTTGAATATCTAGTACTTGTACCCAATACATGGAACAAATGAGGCTCAAACCTGTATCGTAGCACTGAACAGCGGCATCGTCTTGATGCATCCAGCAAGAACTTCGGTGATAATTTCGGTACCAAACACCACGCCCTCTAAACTGCAATCCCACTTGAAAATCGTCGGCATCATTTGATTCACCAACCTTTTCAATCATCATTGGGCATTGTGTGATTGACGTCTCATTTCCTTTGCATCTTAATGCATTCAGGTAAAACTTGCCTTCGCCAGCACCGTATGAACCCATCATTAATCTTCGCCCTCCCTTAAATTTCATCTGTCGACAGATGACATCTGCAGTTTTATCATTAAAGAACGAATATCCGCATATGCTTCCAATCTTTCCGTCTAATACTATTTCTATGCGACCATTGGTATGTGTAGTTCCATTAACCAATTTGATTTTCATACCTATGTCAAACAAAAATATTATCAACACTACAAAGAACACAGACCAAATATTCAAAAGGAAAACATAAGTTTGCCTCTCTCTATATTCACTTGTAAACTAAAGGCTTAGTGTTTAAAGTGAACTGTTTCAATATACAATGTATAAATAACAAGTCATAAAATATTTCTTTTGTATGAAAAATACTCAGTTATTATGTTTGCTGGATATTCTTCCTGATACGGCATTTCTCTCTTTCATGTAATTTCTCATCATTTCTACTGGTCTTTTGTCCTTTATTTTCAATCCCCATCAGTGTATTGCCATGTGAATCTTGTTTTGGTACAATTCGAAGCACTTCACAATAATTGCAATATGAAGTAGCACTTTTTACATTTCGTCAATACGCATAACACGGTGTATGCATGTCCAGCTAAAACTATGGATATAGTATGCAGATTTGTTTCGCCAAAATCTTTTTAAAAATGGACCTAAGCGTCAGTGCTATTTCTAAAATTGCTGAAACACAGGACTTAGTCTAGGTGATGAATTTTCCCATATCTTTCTTTGATTTCACTGGTCTTGCAATATCTCATCAGAGAATTGCTTTTCTCACAATAGACCTGTTGGGTGTCATCTGTAACAAGTTGCCCCATATTTCATCGGAGTGTTGTAACCTTTTCTCCGTCGGTTTTGGACATCAGTTGCGATAACCGTTGTGTTGAATATTGAAGTCTTAAGTCGATGTTAGTACTTTTGATAAATGTTGCACTTTTAATGATCTCTTTGAAGACTTGGTCAAACCGACTCTGCAATAGTCATCTTTTTATTTTTTGTGTCCATTACTCTAAAAGGATTAGTCCTTTTCAGCAATTTTAATTGCTTTAAACATGATCTTCACTTTTTGGTATGTTATAAATTATAAATGATAGAATATCAATGTAGACCTGAAACCAACGGAAACATTTTAAGAAATTAAAACAAATCTGAGCACATGTAAAACCGCACGTGACATTTTGCGACATAAATTATTACATCACAGCAAATCTGAAACTCTGAAAGCACTTTCAAAAATTGTGCCCTTATCAAATGCGATGCTAAAATAGGAAACGGTTACAAGATAAGATTCTTAAATGGCAAATGAGTTATCCCGAAATACATATTTCTTTATTCTATTCTTTGTTTTGTGGATTCAGCCTGAATTTGAAATCTAGTTTTATGGCAACGTTTTATCTAAAGTCAGAAAAAGCTGTTATCTAGTTTTTCTGTATTATGCAAAAAGCAATGTAAGCTCTGAAAGAATGCTTTGTCTGTTGCATGCCCCTGAAACTGAATTATAGTCTTATCAGTCTGTTAAATTAAATGAATTTGAATTGTTGAACAAATATATCATCAAAATTAGTGACGTATATATTATTTCAAATAGATATCTTTCTATATATACCCAGTCATTATAGTATTAACAAAACAGTTGGGCATGCGCAAAAGATTAGTTTAGTTTAGATGTTAAGATAAACAAAACAATTAAGCAATTACAATTAGAGTAAATACAAAATGACCGTGTATTTATCATTGTTATTTTCTTGTTAGAAATAACACCGTCACCATATTTGTAAAGGAAAAGAAAAAAATCTGTTCGCCACCAAAATTCTTTTTTTTCTGATGTCATGCATTTTTCCACTAGGATTCCGTTTCACTTGTTTCATAATCATACCTCGGTTGTAACACTGCACTGCTGCATCTTGCTTGTGTGTCCTACACGTGTAGTAAGTACTTCGCAGAACAAAGTTCAGACCGTCACGACCATTAAATATAGCTTCTTTGGGCTCGATTTTGATCCCACAATTAAAGATGGAAGACTCATTGCCATCACATCGTAAGTACGGTATCATTATTTTCCCCTTTCCTTCTCCAAAATAGCCATTCTGGAGAGAGCGTCCACTTGTATAGCCTAACTGTTTGCAAAGTACATGGGCAGCTTCGTCGTCAAACTTAGCAGTCCCACAAACTGTTCCCCATTCTCCGTCGATTGATATCTCTACTCTTCCAGACATTTTGCTTGTACCATTAGCTAATCTTAGTTTGTATCCTATTGTGCAAGGTTATTTAATTGCATAACATATTTGAAATTCTCAAAGTTTGCAATGGCCAAATACATTGGTTAACACATAATACAAATAATTTGGCAGTATTACGATTACATCATGATCAAAGTATTTCCCAATTATTTCAAAGTAATTTATCGCAGGAAACAAAGAATTTGTTTTTTAATTAAATAAAGAAAAGTCTATAATAATTTCTATTAGTTATTTTTTTAAGCTACAAGTACAACGTTGAAGTTTTGAACATTATTATTCTCTTGTCTTCTTTAATATTAACATTGTTTAACATGTCAATAATCATGCTACTTGGAATATAAATAATTTACCTTCTTTTTGGTAACAATATACAGCAGGGTCCGTATCAGATTTACATCGGTCTACAGAGCCCCATCTTACATTTCCACATTTTCCTAAATAACTTTCCTGTCCAGTACAATTTACATTGGACAACCATGGGATTCCTGAAATTAAAGGTAAAGATAACTTAAATCAAAATGCACGCATATTTCTAATTTGTTTTTGGTTCTACATATACAACTTACATGCATATCACATAAGTGATTAAGGTCAACAGAAAGTCAACCTGTTTTGTTTTGAATATGATTCAGAATGAAGTTGCTTATGTATAATTTCAAATACAAACGTGTTTATACTGAAATGTTTATTAATCTATAACTTAAATCTGGTTGTCGAGGATTTTACAAGAACGGGAGATTCCGGCTAATCAAGTCCAAATTTCGGCGCAATCATAAGATTTAGACCAGCACTCAAAAGGTAACCATATTGTATGTCTTCCATTTTACCTTTGAGACCCCTTTATCATAAATGAAGTTAAGAGAACGGAAGATACATCAAACGATTAATTACCTATATTTTTAGGATTGTTGTATCTAACTTGGAAATATGAGAATCCGCCTTGAAATCCGAGTTCCCTGCATATAACAGTAGCTTCTGCATCGTCAAAATCATCAGCACATATGTAACCCCAAATGTCAAAGTGCCGAATAGAAACAGTACCTCTGTTATGACTATTTAGTCTCAATTCATAGCCTGTAAGAGAAAACGAGTCCACTATATAAAAAACTCATGTATCATAATTCAAGGTTTTCTTTATTGTGTATACATACAAGCGTTTAATTATGTGTCAGTTCGGTAACCTCTTGATAAAGGTTTTGTTAACAATATTGAATTATATTTTGTAATTTCGGAACAAGAAATTAATTTTAGCTATTGAATATCTTTCTGCATTTTTGTAGATGCTCTGTTATGTACTGTGTTGACAACGTAATGAACAGGAAAGTCTATATTAAATATCTGTAAACTACATCATAAAAACAATTGTAAAACTATATGCTAGCCATGTAAAAATATCTTTAACAACATGACTGTATGACAAAGTCTATGGCATTCTATTGTCTCTTCTTTTTGTTTTCTAGGAAATGTCCGTTATGAATTTCTTAAGCATCTTTTTTTCTGTATTCTAAATAAATATTTTACAACATCAGCAAAAAAAGTCTTTAATTTATTTAGTTTTAAAGTGAATTCGTAAGTACTCTTACTTATAGCTTTATGCCATCAGATGATTTAACCAATAAAAACAACAAAGATAAATACATTTATTTTTAATGGTTCGGAAGCATTAAATATTCCTAATTCATGTAATGTATTGCATGTTGTTAAGTATTTTGAACACTTTATTAATGCCATATAAGATAAGCATGGTTATGCAGGCATGGTGCTCTAAATTTATCCTTTAAGAACAATCATAGCTTTGACTTACTGCCACTTCCTGGTGTATCAGAGCATGCCACTGAAGCATATTTCTTACTAGGACATCTGTCTATACCGGAGCTATACTTGCAGTCAAGGACTGATGTCTCGTGGCCATCACATTTGATATCATAGAAACTAATTTCGTAGTCCATTTTACCGAACGCAGAACAGCAAACACTGATGCCATACTTGAAACCTGCAGACTTGCAAACAACCTTGGCAGCAATGTCATCAAAACCATCGGCGCAAACTAATTGGTACTTTTCCTCATTCCATATTTCGACAGCTCCATATGTGACATTAGGTTCAAGTCGCACTACAAAAATATAATTATTTGTTTAAAAACTTGTTATACATACATAGAGGGGGTGCATTATTAGTGCCTTTTACCGTCATACGATCAAATCAATCACAGAGCAGAATAGGCTAAATGTATTTATTTTATCGACGAGAAATATTATAGAAGAAGGAAAAATGTACTAAGAGCACTGGAACAAAATATAGATGCAAAATTCCAAGACTCAATTCGAATGAGGCTGCACATGAGAGGTAGTAGCAAGCGAAATGTCTGTCATACCACCCTTAGACTGACTTAAACAATATTCAATCTGCAGCAATAAAAGTATTGGTATTTTTTTATAATGAGGTAGTTTGTTCTTAATTAGGCATACGTAGTGGCCTTAATAAACATTCAAAGATTGTAGAAATGATAAATGCATTAAATGGAACTACTAATATCGAAAAAGATATTTAAAACTTATCGAATACATGCTTTGATTTTGTAAACTCGTTTTCTACAAAAGAGAGAAAAGTCGTACTAACCTCTGTCTGTACAATATACACTAGCATCATATTTATGATTCCTACACGTGGTGTGGCTGACATTGAATCCAGAATTTGTACACGACCAGATCGACTTCTCATCTCCCTCACATCGTACATAGTATAGCCACGATGGTCCTACAAACATTCAGACATGATGACAAATGTAAATACAATAAGGGAATGTTCGACAATTACTATCTTAAATATTGAAAGCGGACTAAAAGTAACATGTTTCAGAAAGCCTTTGCATAACATGCCACAAGACCAGTATACAATTCTATAAAATATAACTCGGTAAGGTCACTTCAAGATCTTCTGAATACACGCAAATTTGTTAATCTTCGACTAAAATCCCTCATATCGAATGAAGCTGCTTATCAAATATATTGAATAATCAAATCCTCCTAAGTTGTAACATAATTAGTCTTTGCTTTTTAATATCTGTTCTTCAAATTCAAGTCTCTTACCGCTGCCAGACCCGTAGAAAGAATTAGGCTGAGCAACACCATCTAGGTAACCAAGTTGTCGGCACACAACTCTTGCATCCTTGTTAGCCCAGTACGAGTCACAAATTGTCCCCCATTCACCACCGTATGACACTTCGACACGACCCTCCGCTGAGGAATTTCCACCCACAAGTCTTACTTGGAAGCCTACACAATCAAAATCAACAAAAATGTTATATCGCAACTGTTTATTTCAAGTTAAGTTTGGATTGTCATGATTCAGCAGAATAATTCTTTGTATCGTGTCATGACTCCTACCAAAATACATTGTATGAAATACTTTATTGTATATGTCAATAGAGAAACGTAATCAATAAATCAAGTATTGCAGTTATGTTTTGAACATGTTAGTGAATCCAAATATTTTTTATTATGGCAAAAAGCTTATTAATAGCAAGTGGATTATTGAAAGTTTCTTACATCTCTCGTAATCACATGTTCCAAACAAATCTCTAAAACACGAAGAACTATTAGTTAGCCATTGTTTTTAAGCGCTTTATTTCATCTAAAATTGAATTATTCGCATTATACATATATCATTTATTGAATTAAAGAAGTCACGTGACATACCTGGTCCTTCATAACAGTATACCCTCGCTGCCATATGATTGGACAAGCAACCGCTGGTGGGCGTTTCCTGGAACTTGCACTGCTGTATACTGGGTTCCTTGCCCTTACATTCAACATTTGTCATCCAGATAGGGGTACTTGATCCTGTTATAACATGCCGTAAATCATGGTTTATAACGACTATATCATCGGTCATTTTAATGTACATAAGTTAAAAAGGCAGCATAAAGACGCTAAATAGCCCCTTTTTCTGCTGAATTTGATAGTACAATGGTGCTTTTTATTGAGTTTTGGGATAGTCCAGTGTAAAAGTAAATGCTTTATTTGAGATGCATATAGCTAAGAATCGTGTCAGAAGACATGTATGTACATTGTATCATGTTTACTGGGAGTATGTTACTATTTTTATGTAAAAGTTTAACTCACGGACACCTCTTGGTTCACTTTCTTATGATTCATGTAGCAAACAAGATTAATACATGAAGAATATTTTTGTTGTTATCTACAACTATAACATATTATACAGAAATACAGGAATAAAAACCGAACTTACCGGAATAAAGTGGTCCAAAAGATACACCACCGCCGGAATATCCAAGCTGGCGACATAATACATCTGCATCTTTATTATCCCATCCTTCAGCACAAATTGTTCCATTCATACCGTGCTTTTCTATTATAACTGTTGCTGGGAAACTTGTAAACGGCAGAATATGCATATCTAAAATTCATTAATACTGGTGTTAGTTTACCGTTGGATTTGTATTAGATACAATGATAACAATGGCATCTTCAATTATTTGTATTAAATTCAGTAAATCAATATAAATTCTTAATGATTCTTAGATAACATTGATCAATATTTTATTCAATGCATTTGCAATTAACATGAATATCAATAGAGATCTATATTAATACAAATCGTTCAGAATTTACATTGATATTATTATATTTTATACCAAACCATTGAACAATTATATTGATATTACTAAATTTAAATGGGCGTGCATTCTCAAGGGATACCCCTTTTCTCTATTTACTGGTGACATAGACAAGCCTTTGTAGTCGATAGGTTAAAACAACATTTACCTGCATTATCAATGGCTAATTTAGAACAGAGCACGGAGGCGTAGTTAGACGACCTGTCTTTACATTCCCCTGTTTCTTTGTGAGGACAGTTAGCTATCGTCATCTCTTTTCCGGTACAGTTAAACCCCAGAACATAGTCCGAGTAATATCTCCTGCCAAATGCCCCTATATCAAACACATATTGTAAACTTTATTGGGTATAAAGTTACGTCTATTTGTATACAGGTTTGTTTTAAATTATGAAAACTTATTGTTAGTATTTGTTCTAAATTCATAAGTTACTATATCGAAAGAATGATGTTTGTTAAGCTTAAATAAAGCAAGAATACGCATGCGCGAAATCATTAGATAACCTCAATTATTCTGAACATTCGGAACCATATTTAAACGAAAAAGCTTCCTTCAGATATTACCATAAGAAAATGAAAACAATGTGGCTATCCATTTTTTTCTAAATTTAAGAATAGTATATTTCGAAATTTATTGCTTTTCACTCTTTAATGATAATAAGTTACATCTTACAGAAAGCAATTACTTTCAAGAAACATTGTGAAGTTAATAAAACAATTCTGAAGCGGAAAATCAAAATTAATTATTAAAATGGCAGACTGCTTTTTTATGACAGTAAAAATTGCAACATCTTCCAGGCCACCTTTGGCAAGTTTAACTGCCAATTTGGTGCCGTGACCAGGATATTATTGGTGAAAGAAAACGCAATGAAATAACAAGATATGTGTCATTCATTTTTAAGTTGTAAACTTTTTAAGATTTCAGAAATAGAAATCAAAAACAGGCTTATTCAACATAAATATTTTATGATAATTTACATATTGTTAAAACATTTTATGTAAAAACAACAAAATAACATAACAATATATACCAGGTACGAGATCTTTGCTATTAGGAAAGCCAAGTTCTCTGCAGACGACCCGAGCGTCGTCAGCGTCAAAACCATCAGCACACATGGTTACCCAGTCACCATGGCTGTACATTTCAACTTTACCTGCTGTCATGTTCTCATTATTCTGTCCGCCAGTTATACGCACTGTAATAAAAATACAACAAATAAACATAAGGTGACGGCATGGCCGAATTATTAAATCGGACTAAATATCTAAAGAAAAGTGTGGGTTCAAACCCCGTCAGGGGCAAGCCGGGCAAGAAACTTTACACTTATTGTTCAGTACTGGTTGGTTTCATGAACTGATTCGAGTGTGTGTCTATAAGCTTATAATTTCCTATACAATCGAACTAGTATAAATACTTTATTATCTAAAGATTCTAACCAATGATGTCGAGCATCCTATTCAAATTTATCATGGCGGACAATGTAATGAGATTTTATTCATATTTAATAGTAGCCATCGTTAACCATACGGACAACTTGCTTTAGCAGTGTTAGTTATTCCATTGTTGGAGGAAGGCATAATATATTCTATGTCCCAGAAATAACCACTTGTACTTTCACGTGAAATTTGAATGTTAGAAATACACTGGAATCAGCAGAAAGATTATCAAGAACTATAGTTGTAGTAGAAAAGGACCAGCATGTTTTAACATACAAGTATACATGTATAAAAAATCAGAAATCTTATTTTAAAGCAGTACCGTTATTGTAACAGAACACTCCGGCATTTCTGTTGGCTTCGTAACATCTCTCGTCGATATTTTTCTGCCATCCTGGGTTACGACACATGAATATAGAACTTTCCTCACCAAAGCAACTCATTAATGACATCACGACTGTAGCTCCATTAGACAATGGGTAATGGCTTAAAAATACAAAACGAATTAAATTCATCACCATCATCATCATTATGATTCTGTCAAAATATTGCAGATTTTGAAATTTGACAACAATATTTTTCTGTGCATTTAAAATAAAAAGAGACATGATGACTTTTTAAATACGCTTGTTGTAACACATAAGAAATGTCAAAAATACAAGAATAAGGTTGAGTGATAATTTGAGGATTTAGCAATAGTCATGCCAAAGTATACAATGATTATGTAAGAATTTGAAATCCAATTTATTTCGGTAAGTTATATTACAAATTAAATAAAAGTGGACATTATGTCAGACGTATATACAATAGAAGCTGTAAGTGCTACCTCCGGGGTTCGCCATCTTGGAATCCCAACTGTTTGCACGCGACACTAGCATCATAACGCGACCATCCAAAATCACATATTGTCCCTTTAAAGCTGTCAAGAATAATTTCAAGATGCCCTGTATTTGCCGAACCGACCAAACGCAAAGCTGGCTCTGAAATAATAAATTATAAAACGTTTGACAGAATTCTTCCCTAAAGTTGCTTAGAAAAAAATGGACATTTTTATAACACAGACTTGAAGAAATGAATATTTTTAAGGTTAAATAAAGAAACAAAAATCTTCCAGTATGAAATGATATATAAAATCGACATTTTCATCTTATATGGAACAGTATATGGATTATTGTTATTTTTCAAATTTTAAAATAGCAATTTAAAGTGACTGTGGGTTTCTTTAAAAACAAAACCTGTGTACTAAGTTAACTTACAAATGTAAACAGTATTACACAGAATTAGATGTGAGAATTCTAAACTCAGTTTGTAAAGTATTAACATAATGCACTGCCGCAATGTTCTACAGAATATAAAAAACACTTTAATTTACTTTTTACAGAATAACAAAGAACGCCAGCATCTCCAGATGAAAACTTTGCGTCACAAAGACCGCTACTGACTGGACATTCAAACAATGATGACTCGTTACCATGGCAACCAACTTTTCCAAGCGTGTAAGGACCGTAACCTAAGAAAAAAAAATAGTTATACATGAAATTATTTTACTTTTTATTGAGAACTTGTTTTTAATACCTAGATAAAGCTTTTACTGGAAACTTTTCAAAGGGTATAAAAGTATATTTGTCTGTTTATGAATCGGTCATACATTTGCTTGAATAAAGACAAAAATCATATTTGTCCGTTAATTTATTAGTACATATTCTTTTATAATAAATGTGCCTTAAATAACCTCTGCCTGTACACTATTTCAGATACAATTTGATACCTTTAATAACAATAGTTGTGTAGCTTTTAAATTTGAACAAATCTAGCCTCCCTGTCGGTATTCTAACACTAACTTGATAAGACATAAGATTTGAAATTATCCGCTTTAACCAACGACGTGCTACTGACATCCTTAGTGAATATGTATAAAGACGATAAATTACTGCGTTATATTGCTATATAGAATTCCCGAAATGCAAGTCTTTGTCCAGTGTGTTTTCAGAACACCAATTAGGAGTATGGTGTAAATAAAATGATACTTTCTGTCCACAAACTCTTGCAGAAAAATTATTTTAAATTTTAAAGTATATAAGAATGTGTAAGTATAAAAACGACAGTATGTAATAAATCATCTTTACCTGCCGACGTGTACTTATAAGCCACGCCTCCTATATATCCTAACATTTTGCAAACAACTGTAGCATCGTTATCATCCCATGCGTTTGGACAGACACGCCCCCAAATACCGTACTGTTGCACTGTGACACGCCCCGTCTGATTTCCCATCGTTGACCCCTCCCCTCCTTCCAATTTCATCTGTTGTTCTATTAGATATAATACGTCATATTCAAGTATACATTTAGTTAAAATTGAGATATGGTATAGAACTATAGATGCTAAAGAACTACCATAGTATGTAGTAAAATAATTATAATAGATCTAAATATATCAAAATAACTATCATTAGGCTTCCGATGCAAACTGGCTATTAACTTTATATGCTAAAATAAATATCATTAAATATTAGATGTGAAATAATAATGACTATGCTAAAAATGCATAAATAGAAAACTACTATAAACTCCAAATATAAAGATCAATATCATTTAGTTACAAAAGCTACCCTAAATATCATTAAAGACCCATTAAGCTTTTATTTCTCAAAAGCTTTTTACGCATGTATTCGGGGTTCTGTTTCGGTTTCCAAAATGGTACTCATTGCCCATAAATTCTATTCATTCTTTTCCTCTTTTGCACTACACTTAAAGTGATGTAGTATATTTTACAGAGGTAAAGATACCGATTTGTTTACATAATGTTACCTTTATGACACATAACTGTACGTTCAGCGTTTCTTTCTTCAATGATAAGCATCTAACATGGTGTAAATCCATTATTCAAACTTAATAATTCAGTTTCAATAAACCAAGATCCGCTACAACTATTATTGAAAGCATGTAAGCTTACTTGTGCTAAGGGATCCATTAAAACAGGAGACGACAGCATATCCGAGGAAGGAATCTTTTTGACAAGCTCGGAATTTATCATACGAGCAATTAAGAATAGTTTTCTCTGTTCCGTTGCACGAGACATTTGGTCGCACGTATTTCCCATAGAAAGTACCAAACGAACCCATCGCCAGAGCCATGCCGTCTTGAAAACCTAATTGTTTACACACTATCCGGGCCTCCTTGTCTGTAAACCCTTCACCGCAGAGTACTGACCAGTTCTCCTCCATGATCTGTACTACACCGTGAGAGTGATCTCCCCTTGATAGACGAACTATAATACAGAAATAATAAAAGTAATCTCCCCTTAATAGAGAAAATTTATAATAAAAATGATCTCTCCTTGATATATGTACTGCAATACAGAAACAATAAAAATGATCTCCCCTTGAAAGACGTACTGCAAAAAAGAAATGATAAAGGTGATCTCCCATTGATAGACGTACTGCAATACAGAAATAATAAAAGTGATCTCCCCTTGATACGCGTGCTGCAATACAGAAATGATAAAGGTGATCTCCCCTTGAAAGACGTACTGCAATACAGAAATAATAAAAGTGATCTCCCCTTGATACGCGTGCTGCAATACAGAAATGATAAAGGTGATCTCCCCTTGAAAGACGTACTGCAATACAGAAATGATAAAGGTGATCTCCCATTGATAGACGTACTGCAATACAGAAATGATAAAGGTGATCTCCATTTGATAGACGTACTGCGATACAAAAATAATAAAAGCGATCTCCCCTTGATAAGCGTACTGCAATACAGAAACAATAAAATGATCTCCCCTTGATAAGCGTACTGTAATACAGAAATGATAAAGTGATCTCCCCTTGATAGACGTACTGTAATACAGAAATAATAAAAGTGACCTACAGGTCGTTGGCGTACTGCAATACAGGAATGATAAAAGTGATCTCCCCTGGATACACGTACTGACGGACAGAATATGTATCCCATCAGTTGAAAAGTACAATCGCGTTGATTTATCCGGAAAAAAATGTCTCGGTTAATTAACGGACAGATTCTATACACAAAACGAATATAATGCAAAATGTCTATTTGCTATCAATTATAGGTTTAGCGCATGTGCGGTCCGCTGTTTTGGAAAGATTATTCTTTTAAGTTAAGTTAAGTAACTATATTTGTATACTTAACGAACAATCTACCCATTACAAACACTGACATACAAAATGTATATCACTTTATAACAGATTCTTGCAGCTTAACTATATATTCACTGTACTGAATATTAAAGACCAAATATATGTTTAATGAAAGTAGTTATTCAGATGTCATATTGCGTATTAACAATTGCAAATATCTAAAATCGTGACAAATTTAAGTTGAAAAAAACAATGCGAAAGGTAAATATCAAATTCATGCATTATTAACAGCTTTGTGCATGAACAAGTTAAGATATGCAAACAAAATTTTAAAATGATATTAATTACAATTATTATAATATCTTTAAATGTCATAACTAAACAATTTAATGATCATTTATGTTGATGTTAACCTGGTGTAGCAAAACTAGAATGAACTAGTCTCGTTTTTGAATTTAGAATTTTTATCATTTTAATCATAATCGCATAATAATAATAATAATAATAATAATGATAATGATAATGATAATGATAATGATAATGATAATGATAATAATAATAATATAGTAATAAATAATAATAATAATAGTAATAATAATAATAATAATAATAATACAAAAAAATAAATAATCATAATAATAATGACAATGACAATGGCAATGGCAATGGTCACGGCAATGACAATAAAAATGACAATAACAATAACAATAATATGGTGATGATGATGATGATGAAAACACATCCATAATCATCGTCAGCGATCATCATTGTCATTATTCAAAGAATTTCTTACATAACATACGAAATTATAGACAATAAAAGACATTAGGACTATGAAACTAATTAAAAGATGTTAAACATAAACAAATTAAAAAAGAGAAGAAAAAAGCAACAACAATCACAAAAGCAAATCATAGAAAAACATTTCAAACAGACCTGGAGCCAAAAATAATACATTGCAGTACAATACAAGCATACCATTTTTATAGCAGACGACAGAAGCATCATTTTTGTGTTTGTCACATTTGGTTCCGTTATATGACATCCAGCCTTTATTTCTACATCGTGTGATGTTTTTCTCGGAACCATAGCAACCGAGACCGTTCATCATCACAGGACCTGTACCTCCTCCATAATACGAACCTTTGAGGAAACAAAAGTAGCAGTGTTCAATTTTGTTTATTTTATTTAATAAGTTAATCAGTTTTTTTTATAAAGAAACGTAAATAACACGCGGACATTGATAAACGCTTTTTAAAACTTGACCATGCTCAAAAACCCTTCACATTGGCATTCTTTTTTAACACGTTTACTAGTTAAAAGTTAAATGGTATTCATTCCTATTACATTATAATGGTAATCAGATCAAAGATATATTATGCTAAAATCTGACATTAAAAATATTGATTATTGCTACACAGTCTCTTTGTTAATATAAAATTAACATGTTTGAACATCACACAAAGTAGGTATGATATGTTTTGAATTCTGCACACTATAGGTGGTTACAAAATGAATATATAATGTCTTTAAAAAAACAGGCAGTTTCATTAAGAACTTTACAACTTCACTTGACCTGTTATAGGGAACTCAGCTTCCAATACATTGATTATTCATTCTTTTATTCAAATTAGACATATTTAACTCAAGGTTGAACATAGTATTTCTTTAAATTCTGAGAATGAAGCTTCAAAACTTAAATCTTGACATATACTATGTTAAAACATATTTATAAAAGAAGCGTAAAATATCAAATCACAATTTACCAGTAACTGGGTCACCGTCAGCATATCCGAGCTGTTTACAAATAACCCGCGCATCACTCGTTGACCATGCTGTATCACATATAGTACCCGTATGGTCATCGTGCGTTAATTCTACACGACCGTAATATTCTCCACCACCTTTCAGGGCCACACTTATACCTGGAATATTTACAAATTGCAAAATATAAACAAAATTAATATGTCAATAAAAAACCTTTTATCTTTAATCAGTGGACCGCGAAATTTGTTACTGCAACATACATAAATGAGTTATTTAACTTGCAATTTTAAACATTGACCAGTTTCATTGTATCAGGGTGAGAGAACTGTTGCCGGGAATCAAACCTAAGACTTTCTTATGTAGAGACAGTGCCACCAAACGGCCTACACATTTTCCCCCAGATGATCAGATCTGAACTGTGCCACTTTAGTTAAAAAAAAATTGACCGCCACTCCAAGTTTATCAAGTGATACTGACTACGGTGTTGCTTCTTATGCAAACACTGCATATTAAATATGAACAACATTTTAAAAAATGAATACACTAATACTTTTATTTCATAATTGAATAAAATAGCAAATATTCATTTTAGTATTAATAATTTTCCTATTTTAATTCCATATAGACGATACAGATATAGAATGTAAAACAAAGACAGAAAAAAATAATACGCTAATTTGGAAGCACAAACCTTTCTGATAACACAGAGCATACGCTGGTTTACATGACCTCACTGGTTGACCCCACGGGCCCTTGGCGCACTGTTCCAGGGATTTTTCCGTCCCCGTGCAGTTCATATCAATAATCCAGCTTGGCATAAATGTTTCATTCACAGTCCCATAAGCTGCTCCTCCTTTGAAACCAAGTTGACGGCAAACAATCTATAATTATAATATTATAATATATTAAATCAAATCATAACGTTTTCAAGAACGCTTGTAAGTACGTGCGAAACCCTACAGCAGTCTTAGAAAAACGTAACTACGTGGTAAAACAAATTTAGATCAATTCTTTACAGTGTATATTTGAAATTGGCAATAACGAAAAACGGTCAACTAGTACAAGAGTATTTGCATTTGGGATTTAATTATTCGATGGGATTCCAATCCCAACATGATTATCAAATGTTTTGTCAGGACAATATCTTACTTTGCCAAATGACAATGTCTACCCATTTTGCAGCAATAGATTTGTTACAATAAACATATATATGCAAGCTCTACTGTATAAAAAGTCTGAAGTTTATATGAACCACTGTCAAGTCCTCGATATGTGAAATTCTAGAACAATTACGCTGTGTGAGGACATAGATATAGCCCAAGTACGATATGACCCAAATATGACATAGCTTAATATGACATAGCCAAAGTATGACATATCTCTAGTATGACAAAGCCGAGTACGACATAGCCCAGTATGACATAGCCCAGTATGACAAAGCCGAGTACGACATAGCCGAGTATGACATAGCCCAGTATGACAAAGCCGAGTATGACATAGCCCAGTATGACAAAGCCGAGTATGACAAAGCCGAGTATGACATAGCCCAGTATGACATAGCCCAGTATGACATAGCCCAGTATGACATAGCCCAGTATGACAAAGCCGAGTATGACATAGCCCAGTATGACATAGCCCAGTATGACAAAGCCGAGTATGACAAAGCCGAGTATGACATAGCCCAGTATGACATAGCCCAGTATGACATAGCCCAGTATGACATAGCCGAGTATGACATAGCCGAGTATGACATAGCCGAGTATGACATAGCCCAGTATGACAAAGCCGAGTATGACAAAGCCGAGTATGACATAGCCCAGTATGACAAAGCCGAGTATGACATAGCCCAGTATGACATAGCCCAGTATGACAAAGCCGAGTATGACATAGCCCAGTATGATATAGCCCAGTATGACAGAGCCGAGTATGACAAAGCCGAGTATGACAAAGCCCAGTATGACATAGCCCAGTATGACATAGCCCAGTATGACATAGCCCAGTATGACAAAGCCGAGTATGACAAAGCCGAGTATGACATAGCCCAGTATGACATAGCCCCAGTATGACATAGCCCAGTATGACCAAGCTCAGTATGACAAAAGCCGAGTACGACATAGCCCAGTATGACATAGCCCAGTATGACACATAGCCCAGTATGACAAAGCCGAGTATGACAAAGCCGAGTATGACATAGCCCAGTATGACATAGCCGAGTATGACATAGCCCAGTATGACAAAGCCGAGTATGACATAGCCCAGTATGACATAGCCCAGTATGACATAGCCGAGTATGACATAGCCCAGTATGACATAGCCCAGTATGACAAAGCCGAGTACGACATAGCCCAGTATGACATAGCCCAGTATGACATAGCCCAGTATGACAAAGCCGAGTATGACAAAGCCGAGTATGACATAGCCCAGTATGACATAGCCCAGTATGACAAAGCCGAGTATGACCAAGCCCAGTATGACAAAGCCGAGTACGACATAGCCCAGTATGACATAGCCCAGTATGACAAAGCCGAGTATGACATAGCCCAGTATGATATAGCCGAGTATGACATAGCCCAGTATGACATAGCCCAGTATGACATAGCCGAGTATGACAAAGCCGGAGTATGACATAGCCCAGTATGATATAGCCCAGTATGACATAGCCCAGTATGACAAAGCCCAGTATGACAAAGCCGAGTATGACATAGCCCAGTATGACAAAAGCCGAGTATGACATAGCCCAGTATGACAAAGCCGAGTATGACATAGCCCAGTATGACATAGCCGAGTATGACATAGCCCAGTATGACAAAGCCGAGTATGACATAGCCCAGTATGATATAGCCCAGTATGACAAAGCCGAGTATGACATAGCCCAGTATGACATAGCCCAGTATGACATAGCCGAGTATGACATAGCCGAGTATGACATAGCCCAGTATGACATAGCCGAGTATGACATAGCCCAGTATGACATAGCCGAGTATGACATAGCCCAGTATGACATAGCCCAGTATGATATAGCCGAGTATGACATAGCCCAGTATGACATAGCCGAGTATGACATAGCCCAGTATGACAAAGCCGAGTATGACATAGCCCAGTATGACAAAGCCGAGTATGACATAGCCCAGTATGATATAGCCCAGTATGACATAGCCCAGTATGACCTAAAACCTGTAAGGCTTGGACACAAGATACCTGGGTACAAAGGCAGACACCTTTACTGCCAGGCAACTATTTACTCTAAAATTATCGTATTCATTATGTGTATAGATTAAGATGATGTAAGTGATACATACCCCAGCAGCTCTGTCGTTCCAGTTATTACCCATAGAGCAAACTTGTCCCCATATTCCTTTATGTCTCACGTTAACCTCACCCCAATAATTCTTCAAACTGGAATCGTTTCCAAGTCTCACAGCAAAGGCTGACAAAAAATAATATATAGAAGTTATAGTTTTTCTGGCTACAGCATAAAACTATATAAATGTACATTGTACATAAGTACATGAAGGGCAGCAAATAGTGTAATATAATAAAAAACAACGAGAAACTAAAATAAAATGAAATAGGTTAATCAAGAAAAGTATTATTTTGTATAATGTGTACATGCTGACAGCGTTGGCTATTTTGACTCAAGCAATTATTCTAAGAATGTTGTTTACTCACACATATCCACTTCGCTTACAGATGTGTTATAACAAATGGCAGATGCCCTGTGCTCAGATGCGCATTTAGTTCTCAAATCCTGTTTCGTACATTTCAGTAAACTTTTTTCAGGGCCCTCGCAATTAAAACTTGTAAAGGCTTTATTGGGGCTTGAATCAGATTGGTCAACCCCGAGAGTAGAGCAACACAGAGCTAGTCCATCAACCATGCCCATCTCCCGGCATAAAACCTTAGCATCTACATTGTCCCAGTCCTGGTCGCAGACTTCTACCCATCCCTCGTTCAGGCGGATTTCAACGGTTCCTACATTTGTCATTCCTCTGGATTTCAATCGTACTGAAACAAAAAAGAAAAAACAAATTACATGTACAAGAATAGAAATAACATACAAACACACAACATAATATAACACAAATAAATACCAAAAGCGTGAACTAGTCATCGCTATTAAGGTAATCAATAAAACATTTTACAAAGAAAAGTCAAAATTTGTCAGTAAAAAGGGGCATAACTCTAATATATTGCTTTCAGAATAAGGCTCATTTTTTAATTGCCCCTGTCGTGATCATTAGGTGTTCCAAGTTCCACTTTGTTATCTTTCATAGTTTTGAAATAATTCAACTTTACTTTCGAAATCATCCTGCTTTATGGCAATTTTGACAAAAAAAATCTAAGTTAGAAAAGAGTCATAAATCCTACAATAAAGTTTAAAGAGCAATGCCCTTTCTCTTACAACTGACTTTTGTCATGATTAGCAAGCATTCAAGGTTTCATATCGATACCTTTAAAATTGAGTAAGTAATGGGCTACATTGAGGTTGTTTTGCACGACTACAACGACAACGATTCTTTCTTCAAGCAGACGTCGAGTTTTAAACAATATGAGTCGCGTCACGACAAAACCAACATAATGCGTTTGCGACCAGCATGGATCCAGACCAGCCTGCGCATCCGCGCAGTCTGATCAGGATCCATGCTGTTCGCTATCAGCTTCTCTACTTGTTATAGGGTTTGTAAGCGAACAGCATGGATCCTGATCAGACTGCGCGGATGCGCAGGCTGGTCTGTATCCATGCTGGTCGCAAACGCATTATGTTGGTTTTTGTCATGGCGCGGCTCATTTAAGTCTTATTCTAAGATTGTTTTCAGGTTTACTGAACGCTAAACACAACACATATTAAACATATATCGTGTTATGAAGAAGTTGGCCGCACGGAAACTAATCTAAGATATAGAAAAAAAACCTTGGTGAAACGCAGTTGTCCGTTTGTTTTATTTTTACATACCACACATGGCTGATTGACCATTTAGCTACCGTCTAAAAACATTGGACATTAATTGTTAAAGTAATCACTAATGTCAAGTTATATGTTTGGGACGGTTTTTGGTCAACTAATATAACCTTGCTTTTGTAGATGATAGACAGTTTCGTCTACACTGGAACACTTATATAAGATGAGTCATACTCTTGTTGACGTGTGACAATTAGTTATACTCTACACGCTTTTTTGATGTGTTTGTTTTGTATAAATACTCTTAGTCTACACAACCATGTGTATGTATTAACTGGACGGTAATATTAAATGAAAAACATTCTTTAATACTAAGCTGTTGTTGAAAAAATAAATACTGAATAAATGTATGCTGTAGAATAGTATATAATAATATATAATAATGATGCTCAGATATAATATTAAACTTACCGTCATAATTAGAATACTAGTATGCACTGACAATAGCAGCAAATTTAAGTAGAGCCACCTGAGTAGAACCATCGATATTAAGTAAGCTAGCACATGAAAGACTCCAAATCCTTCGAAACACAGCAGTGAGGGGCAAGTAGTTTTGAAGTCAAAGAACTATTCCGTATTTTAATTTACTTTGTAACGTAAACTGATCATTCTATTCGTCTATGGACTATTTCAAATATCAGCCAGGCTTATATATAAAAAATATTATATACGCGAAAGGTTTATAAAAAATATACCAACCTGAGCTATTATAACACGCAACGCCCGCATCTTCATAATGGCGGCAATTATTATTACCCCATCCATTATGTTGGCATTCACCGAGGTTGGACTCGGTACCCGTGCACTGCACGTTATCAAGGAAAATGTCACCCTGGCCCTCGCCAAAAGCTGCTCCAGAGAAAGCCTGCAAATGAGTGATAGATATTGTTACATTTATGTTATAAATGGACTCAAAAATGTCTTAAAAACCTTAAAAATAAAGCAAACAACAATAAAAAACAACAAATTCAACAAAAAAGAGAGACAAAAACAACACCAGTAGCAGAAACAACATATTTTGCACTATGAAGCAATTGGGGCCTTTGAAATCTTCCAGTGAAGACAATTCATTTTCAATTTTTACACATTAGTATAATTTTAATAGAATAAGTTATAGAAATAGCCAACACCCTTCGTATGACGTATAATACTCTATTCTTGCTTGCAATTCAGTACCTGAGACCAGGTTTGATATGAAAATATGTGCCACATACGAGAGTCTGATCTAACCGTAAGTACATTATTTGTGTAGTAAGGACAATACTGGTTTAGTAAGGACAACATTTATGTCGTAAGGACAATACTGGTGTAGTAAGGACAACATTTATGTCGTAAGGACAATACTGGTGTAGTAAGGACAACATTCAAGTCGTAAGGACAATACTGGTGTAGTAAGGACAACATTTATGTCGTAAGGACAATACTGGTGTAGTTAGGAAAATATTTGTGTCGTAAGGAAAATATTTTGTGTAGTAAGGACAATATGTGTGTCGTAGGGAATTCTTAAAAATGCCGACAGGACATTAAAAGGTAAATACATGTATGTCCACCATGTAAGCTTGAATTAAAAAATGTTGGTATCTTAATACCCAGAACACCACGTGATTTTTTGAATAAATCATTCACAACTTAAAGTTCTGGAATTTTAGCACACCATGTTCGATTTTTTATTACGTCTCTAACAAAATATAAGAGTTCGCATTCAATGGGAAAATGCCTACGTATGAAGGATCTTAAAAATGTAGTTTAAATAAACTTGTCCTTGGTGAAAAAAATCCAACTAAATGCAAAAAGAGTTTGTTTAACAATGATCTAGGAGACGAAAATCAAATTTGTAAACATCTGACAAAACCACAGGTAACAAATCAAAATGATGACGTCAAAGCTGACATTACCTGTGATTATTTGGCTTTATTTCACAGAAAAAATGACAAAAATGATGAATTCATCGTATTTGAAAATTTGCAAGCAAAAAGAGGTTTCTAAGTTTCCTTGTTACATATATTAATAATATTGTAGAGTTCAAATGCTAGCACGTGTCATGGCTCGTTTCGAAACAACACTTATATAAAAAGGATATATTTAAGTTAACGACCATTTAGCCTCGGAAATGCAAATATCTTTTATTTTTCAAAAAGCTTTATATGATAGGTGTTCTGTTTCATTTACCAGAGCTGCGCAGTTTTGCGTTTTGGAGTATAAGTACAGAATTAATATTTTGGTATTTTTGAAAGTCAAAATACTTCTTTGTTTATGCTTTGTTTTATTTATCACAAATTACTCTACATTTTGTTTCTACATTTTATAGGTACTAAACATATTACATGTTCTTAATTTGTTGTCAAAACCTGTCATTGTTACACAAACAAAAACATCGAGAACAGCTATCTAAACAACAACAACGATGTTGGCAACAACATCAATGGTGATGACAATTATAAAATATAGGAAAAAAGCAACAGCAATAGATGCATGGATGTAATATATTTATATAAAACATCATCGTCGTTATCATCATCATCATCACCACCATTATCATCACCACCACCATTATCATCATCAATAACAACAACAACAACATCATCATCAACGTAATGATCATCACCATCAACAGCAACAACAATAGCAACAACAACAACAGCATCATCATCATCATCAACAACAACAACATAATGATTCATAATCATAATCATCAACATAATGATGATGATGATGATCAGCACGGCAACAGCAGTACAACAACAGCAACATAACTACCACCACCATCATTACCATGATCATCATCAACAACAACGACAACAACAACAACAACAACAACAATAATAACAGCAATAACAACAACAAAAACTACAACAACTACAAGAACAACAACAACAACAAAGTAACAGCAATGTCAGCAAAAAATAACAATAACCTTACTGCGTCTGAAAGAAAAAAACTGTACAATGCATATGTTCATTTTATTTAATTCACAAAATTCTATTGCGTCTTATCATTTGAAACAAATTCATGAAAAGTAATGAGTAATTTTTTTTGCAATTCTTTACATCATGTCAGGACAATGACAAGAAATACAATTTGAAATCCCGTCATGTCTTTCTGACATCTACTAAAACATTAAAATTATTTTCAATTCACACAAACACATTGTGTGCAAATTGCATTAGAACTTCGCACAAATATTTGATAACCTTTGCTTTAATATCTTTAATTATTAATTATGACAAAATAGTGTCATATTTGTATTTGTCTAGCCAGTTCGGTTTGGCTTTTATATGCTTTAAAGAAGATATTAAGTATGGCACAATAAATTGGCGAAGTTTTAAGTTTCAGTAAACAAGATTTTACAGCTTTGTTGCATTTTAAATGACAGTCGAAGCTGTAAAAATGCTGTTAATTTATCAAGCACATATCAACACTGTTATCCAACAAATAATGAGTGGCAATCATGAAAACATATGAATAACTTGGTGCTATTTCGAATGGACCTCTTGTGCTTTCAGCCACCATTTCAAAAAATATATTCATACAAGTATATTTATCGTAAGTAACATATGTACACGTGTATGAATCTTTTCATCTGGTCACAGGAAAATACATAGATAAAACAAACTGATATTACAAATGATGGTTTTGATAATTCGTTCTTATATTAGAATAGGTTATATAGAACAGGAAAATACTTTTACCTGAATGAAAATCAAATATATTCCAAATAGATTCATATTAGAATATGTTAACATAAAATTTGATCATTATTTATGTCACATGGTGGCAATTCTCGTAAATGACATACTTACTTTATTTCAGTGTCACGTGATCACGAGGAAACTCGACATTAGGTTTTTGAAAGTTTATATTCGCCACGATATATTTATAGAGATACTACAAAGGCAACTTAACATTGTACTTATGTTGATCTTGCACGATCAGACAGTTAATACAGCTTCCATAATAAATCTTCCAGTATGGAAAGCGATCATTGTCAAATTATCTTGTCTTGTACAGATAAACTATGAATCCGTGTTGATGTGCAAATGTTGCCATGGTCAACAGTTTATTCACATTTGTATGAGTTTTTTTTCTATGTGAAATGTTTACTTTGCTTTTAAATTTTTTATTTGATATTGATTTATATTGACAAGTGCACTTTCGAATATTAGGTAAAACCTATATCCATCATATATATGATGTGTTTCCGAGGACCAAAGGTATCGCAACAATCCGAAGTTTCTATTTTTCCCTTCAAAAGGATCGGACTATCTTTTTTTTGATATCAAATAAATGGCATGAGAGATTTTTTCATATAAAACATATAGAATAAATTATAGTAAAAAATATTGACATTTTATGGAATAGCAAAAGAGACAAAAGCGGCGTTCCATAGTCTATAATTGTCAATGAACGTAAAAAGTTATATGGAGGACAATATATGGCTTGGGGCAATGTGTATGTCTTATCGTAAACAACGTGTTTAGTAGGTTTTCATTAGACCTGACTCAATAAGCAGGTTGTGTAACACTTCTTCATGGTACAAAACTTGTGAAATGCAGCATTCAATTTCGTGAGATGTATCACTAGAAAATGGAGATACGAAAACAACTTAAAATTAAGTACATCCTAATGAAGAGTAAGTCTAGTTCCCTCAGAAAATAAAATTCAGTTAACCATTATGTAAGGTACAAAACAAAAGATGTAGTCTAGAATTTAAATGGCCGTTATCATTTGCCAGTGAATTATTCATTGTTTCTGAAGGCAAAAAAAAACCCACAGCTGAATTATATCAATAAATTATTATAGAATCAATAATATTCCGTTGCAGTTCTTAGACGTACATGGACAGTACAACCAACTCCAATTTTATGGTGGGCATTGGCAGAAACTGTCAATACATGGGTGTTCGCCGATACGTTTTAATTTTTTTATTGTAGCTCTTTTACTTTTCCCGTTTTGCCAGCACAAGTGTTTTCTATGCGGCGATATGTTGACGAAAATATGCGGTTACATAGTCTCACAAATTTTTGCAAATATATCGGGAAAAGTGCAAAAGTTACATAATAAAAATATGTACCATCGTAATTAGCAAATATTTAGCTGGAACATTGTATACATTTAATTAAGATATAACCCAAAACCAGCAAAATTAATGATTTTTTAGTCATGAGCTCTGCCATTAACGTTGACCGAATGTTACGGTAAACAAATGTCACGGTGTCACCCACCTCACAGCAGAAGCAAGAACTACAAGTCTACAGTTACACAAACCTAGATAAATGACTTACGGTTCCCCACTGGAAGTTAAGTTGTCGGCATACAACTTGAGCCTCCCTGTCCGACCACAGGTCATCACACACCGTACCCCAATGTGTTCCGTTCCTGGAGACTTCTACCCGACCCGTCGTCCGTCCATCTACACCTCCTCTTAAGCGTGCAATACTTGCTGGTAAATAAAAGAGTATGATTTATATAATGATATTTCTTTTTTATCTACAGAGGTCGTAAAACAGGCCACATCAAGATTTATCGTACCGGTATTTTTTTATTAAACTTTTAGAAATTGTTTTATCAGAAAAATTGTTCTCAATATTTATTATAATTAAAGTATTAAAAAGACTTATTATAATAAAAGTATTACAGCTATTCACAGAAATTGCAAAAAAATATGTCATTATACAGGAAGCGACGACATTTTATTATCATAACATTTTTTTTATATCATTTTTAGTTACAGGTCAAACTGTCGCGCACCTTTTTAGTAGGGAGTTTATAAAATTAATTTGATTCAATGGTTAGCAACCATTTATGACTTATGTCCACGCAAGATAAAAAACTGTAAAAGCAATAAATAATTCTAAAAAAACAAAAACAACAAAACCCCCCAAAAAACAACAACTCTGTGTTTAAACTATTTATCATACATTTAAGGAGTATATACCAAAATATATCCATCATCCAATGTTATTTTATATGGTGGCAAAGAAGGGACATCGGCATTGTCTATACATCACGTGCGCACGTGATGAATAGCGATTCTTTTATGTTTTGTACAACAATAAGTACGTGTAATTGAACACTCATTAAATTTGTCCTTATTTCAATAAAATAGACTGCAATGTAGGCTGCGTAAATAGGCGTTCGTCATTTCTAATTCCCTCCCAAGTGATTACATAACTACACATATGGACTTCATATCAAGCAATGCTACTAAATTGTGCGCAAACATATAAAGAAAGAAAAAAACATGTTCTATCTGTTCAGCTTACGTATTGTGGTAAACTCGGGGCGTTTTAAGACATATAAAACTACAGCATGATCATATCATATCTAAACGCAATAAAACCAATATTGTACGTCTTAAAGGCCCATTATGCCTCAGAATTGCTTTATCTTTATTTCTCAAACAGCTTTTTTTATTTTTGGTTTACTTAAAAAGTTTCCAAAAAAGTAATCATTGGCCAAGTACCTGATACATTTTTTCATCTGCTGCTTTTTTTGCAGTTTGTATAGTTATAGTGATTTTGTATTTTGTATGGAAGTCTAAATATTACTTTGTTTACATTTGGCTACTTTTATGACACATCATTTTATATTTATCGCTATATTCTTCCGACTACAAGCAATTAACTTGCTCTAAAATAATTATTTAAACGTTAAACAATTCACGTTTGCCCATTCTAAAGAAGTAAAAAATAATTCATTTCTGAGGCATAATGTGCCTTTAAAAACAAATTTCAAGCAGCCAAATGCATTTGCCATGTCAACAAATCCATTTTTGTCTGAACTTAAGTCAAAATATTAAGTATGAAAGATAAATCTGTACATTGAATCAGGATATAATTTCGACAAATAAATTACATAGGCTTTAAAGTTAAAAACAACAATGTGTGTAATTTTGGGCGTCTGTACTCAAGAAAATGTCAGAGTGTTTAGTCTAGCGTTATATTATGATGTATTACTGCGCAAACAACATGCTTGAAAAAACGAATAAATTAGAGAAAAAAAGTTCTGCCTTTTTTACATTACGTTTCAAAATGATATAGGATTTCTTACTTTTTCGCCGGCTATGTATGTAGCTATAGACAGAACGGCCCAATAAAAGATTTATCATAGTATCAAGAAAATAATCACGAAGGGGTTACCATGGTACATAAACCACAAAGCCACAAAATATAGCAGTAACTAAAGGTGTAAGACAATTGGATCTATTACACCTGCTGAACGTGGGGAACTTGTCACGACGTGTGTAACTGTCAGTGTTACCTAACTATTAATTCACTTTTCATACTTTCTCGCTTTAAGTTCCAGAAGTATTTCATCCTTATTGATGGACCAAGCGGTCGCAAAGGTGCATCACACACTTCTCGGTGGATAACCTATTATGAAAAGTTCTTGAGATTTCTGAAATATTTCGTTCAGCTCATCAATGCAACGACGGAAAAGAAAGTTCTTCTCTTGACAGCCATAAATCGCATCTCTTTATGTTTAGTTTGCACGTAAAGTTTGATTGTAATGGTACAATTTCAAACTCATCCCCCCCCACATACACAAGTTATCATCCTGTGATTGGTTCATTTAAAAAACACAAATTCTCAAGATACGATTTGCAATGTAGAATGAAATACAGTTTGTTAAAGGCATGCACTGCTTATTAAATTGCACGATTTTAATGTTTCGTGAAAATACACTTTCAACAGAAACGTATTGTACGATGGCGGGCGAGTTTTCAGCAACTTGTGTTACTGATCTACCAGCAACAAATGCAATTCACGCGTCACATTTGACAGATAAAACTATGTCCGGAGACTCTTGTCCCACCAGAACAAGATGAATATGTGATAAGTACATTTGCGCACACATTGGGCAGAGAGACAAGTTGCGTGTTTTACAGTAGATTGGTCTACGACGCGCACATTTTCCATAAATAATTCAAATATTGATAAAAACAATAGAAATGTATCATTTGGACAGTCTCTATAAAGTATTGCTTGAAAAAAAACGAGAAAAAACAGTTCTGACATTTTTACATTACATTTCAAGATGATTTAGGATTTCTTACTTTTTCGGCTGTCATGAATTTAACTATAGACAAAACGGCGCAAATGCTTTCTACATGAAAAAAGTAAACGTTCCTTTTATCCCGAATCGAGTACGAGCTTATGTTTTAAAGTCAGGGTCCAGGTCAAGGTTTCTTAAAAAGTTTTTTTTATCAACCTTATATAATTGCGAATGCAAATGTATGATATTCAGATATTCAAATGACAAATATAGCTAGGAAAATGAAATAAAGAAATGACTGTAAAAGGAGAAGAAAAATGCAGGAAAAGATAAACACAACATCCAATATTGTAAACACTGCAACATTTGTACTTACAAAATGTAAGTTTAACTATTACGTCATTTATGATAAATTATTCATTTCACATTACTCGCTCCGATGAATTGATTTTATAACCATCTTAAAAATGTCAAAAGGGTCTTTAAAAAATGTTTGAAATGTTAATTACACGGAATTCAAAAGTGTTTTCCATTCAAGATTTAACCAGCTGGGAGAGTTAACAGCCACTTTTTATACCCTCTTTTCTTTTTTTATTCTTTACACTGATATATATTTCAATATAATCATCTTTTGTTGGAATAAGAATATTAACTACACAGGATCAATCAGAAATGTCAACGTTTCAACGATTTCATGTCGAAGAATTGTCAATAATGTTTGTCCGTAAGGTTGCTTATACACCACAGATCTTCCCCCCTAGCACAGCTTAAAGGCACATTATCCCTCAGAAAGAAATAAACTTGAACTTCTTTGTAAAGGTCAAACATGAATTTTATAATGTTAATATAATGTTGTTTTTTGTGAATGTTAGATGCTTAATACCTGCAGAAAGTAACGATGAATGTGAAATAATTGCCATTAAAGTAGCAAAATGGAAACAAATAAGTATTTTGACTTCCATACAAAATATTCATTGACTATAATCGTACTTAACAAAAGCAACGGATGAAAAAGATGGATCAGGTAATCAGACTGTAAGTAAATTTTTGGATACTATTAAAGTACAACAAAATTAAAAAGCTTTTGAAAAATAAAAATAAAAGCATTTCTGAGGCATAATTGGCCTTTAAAACATCAATTTTATCTAGTCAATGATGATAAAGACAAAAATATGGCCAAACCAAAAAAATGGACTTACAAAGCCAAAAATATAGTCTTACAAAACCAAAAATATGGCCTTACAAACCAAATTTATGGCCTTACAATGCCAAAAATATGGTCTTATGCATTTATAATAAATACTCGTATACACCCGTTTTCTTTTTTTTTACAACTGCTGGACAACAAAATTCGATAACTGCCAAATGTATATATATGGCAAAAATATTATGTACAACCAACTAAACATGATTATTTTAACAGTAAGCTGTTTCTCTTGTTAGAAATTATTGATACCCAAAAAGAGAAAAAATGATTATCGCACTGAAACGCCTAAATTGGAGAATGTTACAGGCTTCATCTGAATCGTTTTGGGGGTATTGGTAAAGTAACTTCCCATGCCCAATAGCACCGGCTTTAAGCAGAAATGTACCTTTCAAATATAAAAGGTGAAATTTTGAATTTAGAAACAGACATGTATGTGTTTACTCGTAAAATATCCATATATTAAAAATCTTGTCATCAAAGCTGACCAACTTTTATTTCCTTCCGGTGTAAGTTCATACGCAAGAGAAGGGACATAAATACTTTCCAGCAATATTTCAAATGGTGCCCCTTAACTTGTTTGTAGTTGTCCACTTAAATGTCTAAATTTTGTTTCGTTCTTGAAGTTTTTATACCAACAAATAATAACATTGTTATACTTATAAGGTCTTAATGTCACTTATAGTATAAATAGATGATTTAAAACATCTCGACACCTAAATCATAGATCACGTGACCTTTGTCTGTTACGCGCTGACCAACAAAGTGACACATAGCATATGTTTAATCTCTAAAAATTAATTCAACATAACGGCGCACGAAAGTAAGTAGTTATGCATATTTGTATAATAGCCAAATTAGAATAAATAGCTCGTATTGCGCGTGCGTGGAATCCATATCATTTGTAATTAAACAACTGGAGGCATGCTTATGCACATATGATATGAAAAACTTACACTAACTAAATTATATTGGGTCAAAGTCTATCAATGATTATATACAAGGTACACAGTTGATAGTGAATTTACACTTAACAACATAAGTCATTAATTACGGCATAATATTAAGTTATTTGAAATCAAAAATTATCTATAATGCAGAATGGTTAATTAAATAGTAAGTTTGTAGATCCTTATACGTTTCGTTGCTTTTGATTCAATAAACCTCCCCATTCATTAATACCAAATTATATAAATATTTATGTACCAAACATTTTAATAACACGTCTTCTATCAAGAAAA